GGTAAAATATATGTTACTGGTAAACAAAGGGATGTTGAGTCGTATGAACACGACGTTATGTACGTTAATGTAGATTTTATTCCACTCTTGCGTCAAAATTAAATAACTGAATTTCATATTTTGGTACCTAAAACAAAAGTAAATTGGACAGACGATTGAAGAAACTATATAGCTTATCGTTTCCCGGCGCAAATAGTGTATATTGCAAGAACAACGCGAAAAATATATTCTCAATTTAGCGGTTCAAACCGGTTCGAACCGGTTCGAACCGGTTTGAACCGATATTTTTCCTCCCCGGAACTGAACCGGAACCGAACCGAAAGCCGTGAACCCGAACCCGAACCGAACCGATAAAAATTTCGGTTCGACACTCTGATTTTGAGAACACCGAAATTGCGACAACAGAAGTTGGGGCTTTGCCTCAAGCAGGGTGTGTTGAAGGTAAAGCCAGCTTCAATCTGGGATTGGTACCAGGAAATGTTACGACAGATCTGCATTCAGTTAATCATATTTTTGTGGTGAACATTGAGCGGCTATATTTCAAAGGAAGATTCTTAACTGCCTCAATAGGAAAATAAGATCAGTTGCCGAGTGGGCTGCTCACACCAGCTCGGAGCAGGTGGAGCGAAAGCTTGCGCTGAAGAACCCAGAAACACTAGGTTTCAGTGGCCCCCCCCCCCCCCCCCCCCCCCCTTCCCCTTTCTCCTCTGCCCGTTTCGACCCCGATGAGCCATCGTACCGGCGTCTTGTCGTGTGTCACTACTACGTGGTGCACGTTAAAGACCGCGGTCTAGCGGTTGCCCTGCACTGGCTAAATCGCTCATCTACAGCTGAGACACCAGACACCCATTAAAGCTGACTAACTTGTGGCTTTACAAACATACACACAACACAATTTTACTACGAGAAAAGGGTGCGGCATCTGCCTCTATGTGAACCTCTACGCTCGTCGTCCTGATTGTTATCAGAGGTTCACGAATACCAGGCAGAATGATTGCGTACTAATTAATGCTTTATTTCAGCTACAAGGTTTTTCAACGCGATATTTCGTTCCCAAGCACTTTCGATTGAAAGTTGCTTTATTAAAATGTAGGTCCTTGTTTTTTTTTGGAATTTTTGGACTATTGTCTCGCAACATTTCTTTCTTCTCATTGGAAAGTATATACGACGCAACTACATTGCTTGACGTTTGATTCAAGGGAAAATTAACAAAGTTTAAAAAAAAGCAGCCCATATGTGCGCACAGGCATGCAAGTTTTCAAACTCTGCCAACTCCGCCGACACACGGAGAGTAGTAATAAAGGTCGATCAAACACGCTTACAAATTAGGCCCGTACGTTTCCTTATTACATTCCTAAATTATTTATGGCGTCTATTTTTTTCACCCTGACAACGACGCGTCCCGAGAAATCGCTATGACCGAAAGAGAGACAGAGAAAGAAAGAGAAAGACACCGAACCGCACATGCCATACCAAGTTCCGCCCGTACGGAACAATTCCACGAGCCGGGGAGCACGTCGCGGCCGCGACTCCGCCTCCCGCACGCCGATCCCGTGGACGACAGCGGGAAGTCCTTCCGTTGCCTGCACGCAGTCGAAAAATAGGAATGTGAGATATGCGCGAGCAATCACGATAATGCGCGGCGAGAAAGCGATGTTTCGCTGATGGATCGATGGATCGTCGAGGGTACAACCGGGGACAAGAAGGGGACGAGGGGGAGGTGATCCCCGCCTTCCGGACACAATCGTGTTCGTCGCGCGTTTTGCGGTGAAGCTTCTCTGTCGCGCCCACGCGCCCACAAATGGACACCGAGAGCTCTCCACTGTCTCTGCTCTTTCGAAACGGGACTCGTCGCCGTCGGCGGTGGTGATATAGGCGTCTACCTATACTCCGTTCTTCGCTAAACTGACGGTGCGTCTGCAGCTACGTGCTCGTCGGGCTATTCATGCGTTTGTCTTCCGTCACATGAGCACGCTGCCGTCTCTCATACTAACTCGTAGGGTGCGCTGTACGGCGTTGAAAGGGAGGTGGCTGATTGGGTACTAGGGCGCCTAGCTGCCACTACAGTGTGAGCTTAGGGGTTAAAGATGTGTAGTCACGACTGCTTTGGTCGCCATTTTGACGGTGGTTCGAGTGGCCTGGGAGGGGTCCCGCACGAAAGTGCACGTCGCGGATGGCTCTCGCTTAGCTGATCAGCCGTCTCGACGGTTTTCTGCGGGGCAGGTCGGCACGTTTATTCGGAATTCCGAGGGAGGGCAACGAGGGTGTCGGTATAGAGACACGACCTTGTAGAGTTACGCTTGCTGGTGTGACACGAAGCAGCGCTCTTTGAGCGCGACGTGCCAAGGTTCAATTTTGATCATTTATTTCGTTTGAAAAATAATAAAATTAAACGCGGAGCCATTCTTTAACGGTTACGATATGGAGCGGTGTACACTTGAGAAAAAGGGGATGGTTAGACACCTCCTTTACTTTAGAAAAGGATTTATCTAGGAGTGTATTTTTATATTTTTATAGTGTTTTGCTTCTAAAATTAAAGTGGCGCTAAAAAGATAACTTAAAAACCTAAAGTTTGAACTTCGGGTCAAAATTTTAGCAGATGCATTTAATATCTTTTGCACAAACATACTTAATCTTGATTGATTTCTAAAATAAGTTATATTTTTTGCTTGCAAACTGCAAAAACCTTGCTTGGTACAACGTTAAAAAAGTGTTTTATTAGTTTTTTTTTAGATTATTGGTCGCACACGTTTATGTAAATGAACTATCATTCTTTGCAAAAAGGAGGTGCACTTAACGTGAGCTGCGGTATGATTTTACGCCTGTTTGAAACAAACAAAGGAGGAAGCATGGGGCTCTTGGAAGACGCAGGCCTTCGCAGTGGCTTTCCATAAACGTTACACGAGCCACGAATGTGCATGCTCGGCGCTACAATTTTCAGCCCACCCCGCATCCCCCTTTCCTCTAGCTAGCACCAGGAAAGCCTTCCAAGCACTCTAGAGTCCAGATGCCCCCTCTGAAGGAAAACCATTTGTTCGCTTTTCTTCTCGTGCTATTCTTTTTTTTTTTTTTTGGCTTTTTTTTTTCCAATTTGTTAAAGTGTTTACGGCGGGCGTGGGATGGAACAGCCATAAGCCCGTTTCCTTAAAAGTAGCCTACACCTGAAATATTGCTCCCTAACGCGTAGCAGGGTTCTGTAGCGTTGCTTTTGCTTGCTCTTTTGCCGTTATTCTTTTTATTCTGTTTTAGAATGCCCGATACTATCCGTTTTGCGTCTTTTTTGTCCCGTTCGAGCTTTTTATTTTCCATATAGATATATATATATAGTGTGTTTTTTTCATTCTTACACATTTCCTTAAAAAGAAACGTGAAAGCTACACGTATGCGGTTTGTGCAGGTGCATTATACGGTCAGGTGGACATTATGTGCGTGGCTAGTCTTTGGGACAAGTCGGGTAATTAATTAATATTTGTTAATTAACTTTTTAATTAGTGGAAATAGACATGTGGTTCCAATTAGAAACTTGCTGAGCGTCATCCAAAACCCCTAAATCTGTATTTAAAAAAGAAAGCTTTCAGTGCGTGAGAAGTGTAGTAGGGCACCAAAGTTACCACTCGTGGAGGAGCTACAAGGCTAGCGGTAGCGGTATGGCGGCCGCGCAATTTTTCCGTGTCTTATCTAGCCCCAGCCTTGTACTTGCTCCACGAGTGGTAACTTCAGCGCACTATTGCGCTTCTCACGCGCTCAGTCTTTCTAAAAATTACTGATATAGGGGTTTGGGTGACGCTCAGCAAGTTTATAATTGGAACCATATGTCTATTTCCATTAGTTAAAAAAGGTAATTAACGAACTTTAATTAATTAGCCGACATGTCCCAAAAATCAGCCACCCACATAATGTCTGCCTGACCGTATGAGCCGGCTGCACAAACCGCATTAGTATAGCTTTCACGTTTTTTTTAAACAAATGCGTATGAATAAAAAAACACCATATATATATATATATATATATATATATATATATATATATATTCGTGTGATGGCTTATGCTTCAACGTCTTAAGTTCGCCTCAAGGTACGTTTGGAAGTGACAAACGCTGAACAATCGTTGCTTAAGACGGTGCGCGCCTTTCACCAGAATAAACGGTACACAGCTTTTTCTTAAGTTGCGAAAGCCTAGCGACGAGCAAGTGAAACAGAGCGGGCGTCAAAAGCAATGTCTCGCGCCGTCTTTATGTTCTTGTAATGTTTAGCAATCGAACACCCACTCGAGTTATCCGCAGTGCGGCCGGCTGTGGTTGCGCTGTGAAATAAGTTGTTTTGGAGGGCTTACTGTCGTTCCACGTCAGCGCACCTCGAAATCAGGGTATAGGGAGTGCACTTATATACTTTACTTGCGTTGCGTTAATTTTGTTCAATTTTGCATTATTTCGCTCGTTCTGCGACTGCTTACATACATATAAATTTACGCAGAAACCGCAGCGTGCAACAACATCGGTTGAACTACTATGTTGTTAAATAGATAAAACGTGAAGTTACGTTTGTGCCGTTTAATTTAGCTCCATATCGTTAATGCTGTAGGAGTTGTAGGAGTGGGAGTCGCAGTGATAGTTAAAATAATAGCATTTTTACTAATTTATCTGATTGCTGCTTGTTACAGTCGCTTGTCCTATAGAAAGTACAACTCGCATTACAACCGTTGCTTTTTGTACAATAATTAAAAAAAACTATCTGAGCCGCTCATAAGAAAAAAAAGTCCTTCCTTGGTTGCAACAGGGTGTGCTCTAAGAGTCCTTTCTTGCCAACGCACAAACACACACACCTGCCCCCTGCCTCTCTCTCTCTCTCGACGCTGCGGTTCATGGCATGTTTTCTTGAATTCTTTCTTCGAATGATATGTCGTGATATCTCGCGAGATTGCTCGTCTTCCTGCTAACATACCCCGAAAAAGCGTGTCTGGCCGGCAGATTTATCTGAGTACGCGTTTGCCGTCTCGTGCAGTTGACATGGCTGGACGGCAGCGGCAACGTGGTGAGCAGCGGCGTGGAGTACAAGACGGAGCTGCTCTCGGACGGCAAGAGGGCTAACGCTGCTCTCACCTGGACCCTGAGCCCGAGTCGCGAGCACGACGGCAAGACCTTCGTCTGCCGCTCCGAAAACAAGGCACTCAAGCAGCCGATGCTCGCCACCATCCGCATGGAAGTAAAATGTGAGTGCTTCGCTTTTGATTGTTGTTGTTGTTGTTGTTGTTGATATTTTATTTGCATCAAATACAGAGTCTCCACTTTGCACAGCGGGCTGTGCAAAGTGGAGACTTTGATTATACGCTCCGTGCGGGAACTATTGGGGGCGCTTTGAAAAACGCGCGCAGCGCCGCTAGCGGAGGAGCTGGAGTTCGACAGTGAGGCACGTTCAACAGCCTGCGGCGCCTTTTCGCATGCCAAGCTGTGGCGGCGGAAGCGCGCACGGACTAAACTTTTGCTTTTTGAGCCGATACGTTGAGGGTGACGTTACATGAGTGCTGGGGCGGAAGGGCCTTTTTGCTGTTCTCCACTACTTATATATTGAGTTTGAGTCGTTATTAGGGGTAATTTCTCTAGTTGCGGCCGAAAAAGGAGTTGGAGCAATTTTCCGAAAAGCAAGACGGCCGCCACCATAATGGCTCTGAGTGGAAAATTGATTTCGCTTGTCGCTGTAAGCCTAGGACTGCTGGAGCGATAATATTTGGAGGCAAGTGAGATGTTCACTAAATTTGTGTACCAAGTGTGCCAAGTTTAATTATGACGGCAGGTGTGAAAGTTATGTTTCTAGCGAATAAAGAAATAAAGGTGTCCGGGATATCCCAATATTGGACCCAAAATGTTGTGTTATAGCGGGCTGTGCAAAATGGAGATTTGGGCACACGGGTGCTTGGAATTCACAGTAACATGACACAGCACTTATTATACCAAAAAGAGGTGGCATAGGGAAACCAGTTGGAAATTTGGTTTGGGCGGCGTAACTCAATGGGAACCGGTTTTGAACATGAAAGGGCTGTCAAGAGAATACCACTGGTCGTAGGAGATGGAGACTTTACAGGTAGGAAGGGACTAGTGGACTCTACTTCCAATTGCAAAAACTTTACGATAGGTGGTTCCAAAGCCGAGAAAACGAAATGGTCGGCCAACACACGGTTTGGCCGTCAAAGGCTTTTGCGATCAGCTGTTGTGTAATAACCTGTTGTGCGAGGTGCTGATTTTCGGCGCACAGGTACTTTGACATGACTGTAACTTGACACAACAGTTATTATATCAAAAAGAGTTGGCGTAGCAAAACGAGGTGGAAATTTAGTTTGGGTGGCGTAACTAAATGGGAACTGGTTTTGACCGCTAAAGGCTGTCAAGATAATACCACTCATCGTGGGAGGTGCACACTTTACAGGTAGGAAGAGACCAAAGGAACGGTACTTCCAGTTCGAACGACTTTGCGATAAGTGGCTCTAAAGCCGGGAAAAAAAAATATTGTCTACAGAAGTCGGGGTGTCAGCATTTCTACATCCAAAAGGAGGCTGATCAAGAAAGAAAGCACACCACATAAACTTCCGTACTTAAACTTCGATTCTCCAGTGATTCCGAGTTTGATTTTTGTTTTCTTTAGATTCATATTTGCCACATTTTGTTTACCGTTCGAATCTTTCTTCATGAAGTACTGATTGCGTGCCATATTTCTCCGGAAATATCATCGACAGGTACGATGAGAACGAAACTTTTTTGAAGGGCATTCCTCCAACGAAATTGGCACTGCATACCCGCGAGTGTGTCATTTCAGTTCGTCCCATCGGCTCTAACACATGTAGTCGTTACTGGTACGAAAACAGATGCAGAGCGCAAAGCAGCAGTGTAGAATATGTCAACCGTGCCGACACAGTGTCAGTCATGATCGCGAGACCACATTTCTCGCGTCGTACGGCACGGGTCCATTGTTGTCGCTATCCCACATAACATCCGCGACGTGAAAAACTGAAACTTTGTCCCCAGAAGATACGACGCATAACTATTGAAGCCCTTAATGACGCAGCACAGGCAGCACTTCATGTTGTGAACCCAGCGCAACCGCACCGCTCCGACTTTAGTGCGTACCAACGTACGCGGCGTACGGTTTCGGTGTCGTTTTCTCTGGTGTCCTCACTGCCTACCATCGGTACCGGCTGCGCGGTGGCGCGCCAGTCGCGTCGCACGGTGTGCGTACTGTGCGTTCTCCTTACGATGTACCTCAGCGGACTCTAAGAGCCGCCACCGGAACCAGTCCGCAGCTCGAGGTGTATATCTCGTTGCCTTCCGTTTTCACGGAGCGATACGCGGAGCCTGAAGTTACGTGGCACGCGTGGGGGGTTGAAGTGACTAAACTGGGTCTTAGAGTTCATAGCGTTACATCCTAAGGTGGAATGGAGTACGAGTCGATAAGCTGAGGGATAGGAGGAGCTGAGAGCCTTCGGGGACGTCGAAACGCCTGACTCTGGTCGGAATGATTAGCGGGTAGACCTCAAGCAAGCTGCCTTTTGTCTCCACTCCACTCGTCGAACGCGTTACAACGCGGAACGCCAGCGTCCGGCTTTCGGCTCTCGCTTTAGGTCTATTTTGTAATCACCCGAACCTCTAATCACTACCGAGGCAGAAAATGTTCTTTTTCGGTAGTAGCGTGTTACTTCTAACACAATCAAATGACATCCTGTCTTTCTAGTGAGCTACAGCAGCAGCATGTGGTGTTGAATGGACACGCTGTAACATCAACAAAACGTTACTACATGAAAACCTCATTACAGACAGGGGGTGGTGGTCGCCAAAGCTTCAGTGTTTCTTTAAACCCCTCCATTGCCTGAAGCATACTTTAGGGTGTTTCTTTAGAGACGCCTCGTCGTGATGAATGCAGACATTCTCGTCGTTCACGGGTCCGGTTACTAAGTCCGCCCACTTCCGTTACCTTCTTTAAAAGGTTCGGTTACTCGGGCACCGATATAAAACCTCTCCAGACAGAGGCGTCTTCGCTGTCTCGGGCGCTTGTCGCATTCGCTACTTTCGCATGAAGAGTTAGGGAGGCTAATCCAGTTAGAAAAAATTTCTGCCCAGCGTGTGTGCCGGCGATGGAAACAAGATGAGCTCCCGCGTGGTTATCCTAGACCAGACTGTTGGGAATTTGCCGTGCTTCGTCGATATAGAGTACCAGGATATATGCCAAACGCTGTATATTTCAGTGCGGCTCGCGGGAGTGGCGAGTTGGATGTAGTTTCAAAACGGAAGTGACCACAGTTCGGGAGGATAATGAATGTGCAAAAGATCACCGCATAAATAGGACTTTTTTTTTTTTGGATTCCAATATTAGTTGTTTAATTTATTGTCAGCATCAAAAGTACAGGGCGGCGTTGAGGAAAAAGACGCATGCAAAAAAACATAAAAGAAAACGAAGTTTAGTTTGCTGGCTAATTAAAGTATCACAGTTAAATTCTTAAGCACTGTTTTTTTCTTTTTATTTCCTTCGCTTCTTCACGTTTCTTTTCAGCCGCCAGAGCGGCGGCGGTGTGATTTGTGGGGACAGGGGGCGACGCGTGAAGCTCCCCGTGGATCGACGTGGCTCGTCACGGGGGGCAGGACTGTGACTGATCCAGTCCCGTTCACGTGACAAAATCACACTTGAACTGATTGGTCGAGTGGTCCGTGAGAGAGGGAGAGGCTGCATTTGAAGAAAGAAAGGGGGAGATGTCGGGGGGGGGGGGGGGTACTTTGGCCGAGACTTGGGAAGATTAAGCATAGTCTTTCAAGTTGGAGGTTGTAGCTTGGACGGGTGTAAATAAATGTACATAGTTCACTCCAATCAGCGAGTCGATGCGCCACTCAGCGACGATCGTGCCATCACGCTTCAGACCATCAAGAGCGGAAGCTGCGATCCCAAACCACCGAGAGGAGCAACCGGTTAAATGCCGCTAAAACGTGAAGTTAAATGCAGATTTTCTAGACAAATTTTCTCGTATCTTATTCTCGAATTTTGACAAAGTGGAAGCGCAGCAGTCTAGAAGACACGCGGTGGACGTACTGATTTTGGTACTCTATACTCATCAGTATACTGATGAGTATAGAGTACCAAAGGATGAGGTACCAAAGGATGAGATACCAAAGGATGAGGTAACACCCACATAACGAGGATTGATCGTCCTGGGGCATCGTGTTGTAGGTTACACCGAAGGGCTTGCTCCTGTTTGCTATATTAATTTATATGTAATGGTGCAAAATAAATCGGGCCAAACTTGCTATCAGTACGATCTCAACCCTAGCGCATGAAATACGTAATGTCCAGCAAATACTAGAGGTTATTGCCAACTTTAGGAGGCTATCAGCCTGCTTCCCAAGTAGCGCGCTTGGCTTCCTGCTAGATCTAGTCGGTGAAAGATCAAGAATACTGTAAATTACCAACTTCAGTTTTCAGGTTTCCACGTTTGATAACACTTCGTGGCGCATTCAGCCAAAACTCGAAGGAAAGCACGGAGCGCGAGCTGTAAGCGGACGTTCTACAGCATTCATAGCATGTCATTAACCGTAGAATGAAAAATGGAAAACGTTACCAGGTGGGAGTATGAATTGGAGGAATCGGTGGCCGAGTGTTCTGACGCCCCGCAACTCGGAGTCCGTGAAGATAAACCTCGCGTTGCAGAATTTAATATTCGCCTGAATAGACCGGTTCAAAAAAGTCAGTCATCTTCTGGCAACGCCCAAATCTCCACTATGTCCAATTTAATGGCGCTAATTGGAGACGACGCTTGCCTAAATCAAGTACCCTCGACTTCGCGAATTGAAGGCTACGGAAAATACCATTCTCTTTTCCTCTTTCTGTGGTAAGGTTTCGGAGGCGTCCGCTTTTTTTCTGGTGTGTAGGAACTGTGTTGTCCCGCCATTAGAGTGTCGGGTTTGGCTCTGCACTTTTCGGAAGTGGCTATTCTCACCCCTGCCCATTTCGATCTGGACGTGCATGGTACCGGCGTGCGGTCGTGATGCCTGTTAAAGACCCTAGGTCACCAGCCGTACTGCACTCGCTAAATATCTCATCTACCTCGTATAATATTGTCGCTATACTCCGGCAGACTAACATTACGTTGTCTAAACATGTAAGGACCAATTTAGAGTATTATTTTCTCACAAAACAAAACCAACCCCAATTGATTCCACACAAAAGATGTCACTTCCTTTTTTCTTTGCAGAATTGCATGCTCAATTATTTCTTGACCGTTTTTTTTTTGTAAAATTATTTTGTTTGTTGCCAGCTTTCTTAGCTGATGTGGTTCTGTCGACAGCGTCGCTGTGTTGTGGTCTCTGCAGTCGATGTGGAAACTCTCAAAGACTCCCGGAGTGCGTTGGCGCAATTGCTTAAAAGGCTTTATTTGCTGTACAAATGTTTTCACTCTATAGTCCTTTATTATAAGGCACGGTAATATTTTTCACGTTACCCTCCAAACCCTAAATGTTATCTGTTGCGTACCTCAGTCCGTGCGTTTCCCGCTCAAAGTAGCGGGGAAACTGAATTTGTGTTAGGTCGCGTGACGTCAATTGACGTCACTTGGCCCATACACCAATTCAGTTACCCTATTAAATTTAGCAGGAAAATGGATGTCACATGAATTGACGTCACGTGATCTATACGCCCGTTCAGTTTCCTTGCTAGATTTATCCGGGAATTGATGTCAGGTGACCTGGGGTCTCGCGACCTATTATACCTATACACTTTCTCCGCTAAATTTATCAGCAAATTTGATGTCACGTTACCTGACGTCAAGATACCTATAAATCAATTTAGTTCCCGCGCACCATATATCGGGGAATTTGAGAAAAATAAAGCTTATTCACTGCCCTTAACGATGGTTTAAGGCGTTATAAATAATTTTAAACGCTCGCACTTTAAGTACTGCCTTTTTGCATTATGGTACTTATAGATAAATGTAGCTCCCTATTGTATTTTTACGTGGGATTTTTATTTTTTTATGTTCTTTCCTTTTCTATAGGTTCAGATTAAAAGAAACCGAAGGGGATGTTTTTCTCCGATTCTCGGTTCGCCTTCGCAACAGTAACTCCCTGTGGCCGCCGAAAAATAGCAACGTGGAAAAAGGGGCATAGGCACTCAGAAGAGATTCCTACACCTCTTGCTTTCTTTTTTTTGTGTTTTTTTATACCGTCAGAGGGGATTTGAGATTGAGATACAATCTGATTCACACTTTAGTTGCTGTTTGCTTAGTATTTCGTTTTACTTTTTCATTTATATATTTACTATTTATTTATTTATTGTTGCGTTGATTGTCACAGATACCGACAGTTTAATTTTCAATATAGATGGCAGTTGCAGCTCGGCTGGTTTTTCAAATGGATTTCCAGAATCTCAATAATTGTTTTATTACTTCGCACGTTATTTTTTTTTATTTATTTATTCCCCGAATATTTTAATCTTCCTGCTTTGTAAGAACGAAGTATATGATAACAAAAATAAATAGAAAAAAAAAGAAAATGGAACGCAGTGTGTCGACAAACGGATGCAGATAATGAATAACTCGAATGTATCTATTATTTTTTTTTAAATATTTCTCACCTGATTTCTGCCGGCGATGAGGTAAAGCGAAGCGGAATCGAATACCAAGATCGTTCAAAAAAGGCACCCGCCCCCCCCCCCCCCCCCCCCCCAACAGTAAGAAAATCGGGCATTCTTTCCTGTTTCGCGGAGAAAAGCAGTGAACAGATAGACCCGCCACACTGGCCCTGCCTTTTTATGTCGGTGTGGTAGCGACCGTTAAAAGGCCTTGGCGCACTGTGTGATTACTCGGCGTAGCGTCGCGTGAGGCGGTGCCGATAAATTGAATCTTTTCCGCCTGCACCTTTGCGTGTGCGTGTGACACGGAGCATTGGGAAATTTATCTCGCGGGGAATGCACGCCGCGCTGGGTCTGCCGATTGAAATCCTCTTTCTATGAAAATTGTCTCGAGGTATGTTTTAGCCTCACTGAAACGCCCTAATGGTAAAGTTGATCGTCATGGGTATCTTATTTTTTGTTTGGGTTGTTACCCGAAGGGACCTGTTTCGTAGAACGGCCATTTAAAAACGTAATATTACAACCATTTTCCTATTGTCGTAATGACGCTAGGACACAGGAAGTTTACGTCGTTCATTCTTAAAATCTCGCGTCCAGATATTATTCAAATTTGTGATCCTGGACGTTTCAAAGAGCGGCTAACATGACATTTCGAATTTGAGACTATAGCTAGCCATTCGAGCACAAAATAGTTTTATTGCATGGCAGAAATACGTTCTGAGAATATATTACGCAGAATTCATTTGGAAAACAAATCTGTTGTTACTGTGTATTTATTTGTGAAAGGTTCAATCAAGCAATTGTGTTTTAAAGTAAAACCTTGAGTTGGTGACAATTAATATCTGATTTGACAGAATATAGAATTTCGCTACTGTAACAGAAAGTGCTGAATATGCATATGAGACTCATCAGTTGATAAAAAGAAGTGTATTGTATGTGTACTGAAAAGTAGCCTTGCATCCTTCAAGTATTAATTGAATTAGTAAAAATAGAAAGAAACGTCATTGAAAATAAAAAAAAAACTGATCAGGAGGACTATTTTTAACGTATGAGCTAGGGGGAGAGAGTTAGGTAGTGAAGTCCTTGCTATGAGTGCACATTTCTATAGCTGCAGCTTGATGGAAGTTACTCACACACTCTTCGTCTTTGGTTTTCTCATCCCCCAGACCCCCCGGACATCACGCTGACCGTGGAGTCTGACAAAATATCCGAGTTCGATGACGTACGGTTTCACTGCCAAGCCGTCGCCAACCCTTCGGACATCGTGTACAAGTGGTACAGGTGAGCTCGACATATTTACCCGTCTTCACCGTAGCCTCAGGGACGAAAACCCAAAACAACAAATTTGGTTTTCATTTCTAGGGCAGCCATGACTCTTTTCGAGCTTTGATGACATTGACGGAGTATCCCTAATCGAACTTAAGATCCACAATAAAAATTTTATAGATTTTTATGAGCTACCTAAAGCTAATGAAGAAAATGAAAAATCTAAGTACATATTCAGACCGGTGAAAACTTGAAAACGAGATTTCAGTGTCAGATCTTGTTTCATTTTTTATGGCGCGTTTGGTAAATTTGAACTGTTGAACGACCAAGAGAATTATGAAGCGAATACGTAATTTAACCATCATGCCCTTTTGCTAATTATTATTTTTTAATGTCATTTCTCTCTGCAGTTTATTTCCATACGCTAGTAGCTACGCTTGCTTAAAGGCTTAGTCTTTACATGGCTATGGTTTTTCATTCCAGAAACCTATTACTAATCAAACTGCTTATTCGCTTCTGTTTTTTTTTTTAATTCACGCATCATAACTGCTACAAATTCACCTCAGCTCTTTGAAGATAGAGCTTGCCAAATATAAGTTTCTGCGCCTTGGTGGGAGTAGAAGAAAAATGTGTGGGTCATTGAGCGATCAGGAAGATTTCCCAGTGATCGTTGTCTTCCCACACGTTTATTTTACTTGTAATCTGTACGGCAGCCCTGCGTGGACTCTGCCCTCCTGCTTCAGCTGACCGCTTCAGCAGCGTCTAGACGAGATAAGGCCTCACGGCACCGTGCTCACATGGTTGCAACGTCACAACAATTAGGCCACTGCCCCAGCGCGTTTGGAAGACACTCAGTTGCACGTGGCAATATTTTCAATTAATGTTCCTGCTGCGAACCTTAATTTTGTTTGTGCGGGTTTCTAAGCCTTTTTGCGATACTTGGGCATTTCAAAGCGGGGGACATGACTAAAACGTGCTGTGCATGTGTGTGCTTCTCCAACGCGGTGCGGTGTTTCGTTTCGCGGACATTGGATGTCGCGTCTAGTTTTCACTTGACCAGTGTTTGCTTTGTGAAGGTTTCGATTTCATTGCTCTGGGTTCCTATGAACTCTCGCTAAGCTACCGCATTCAAGTTGGCAAGCTGTATTTGTGGTGTGGGCTTGGGCAGTATGCCAACTGCACGTAGTGGCCATAGGAGTGCCTGTTTATGCATCGGAAATATCAAGATTTGTAGTTTGCATGTATACCGCACTACCGCATGAACATTTTGTTATGTCGCTGTATTCCAGGGGGAGATATTTTCCGTCCTTGCGAATTGTCGTTGCCATTGCATAATTCAGAACACGTTGTAATGTCCAGGACGACATGAAGCATAGCGCTCAAATAAGAATTTCTTTCTGCAATTTGTCTTCCCCACATATTGGAATGCGGCGGTTCTTTAAACAAATACCACGCTGTTTTCTTAGCTGTATGGCTGCATATGACGCTGTCGAAAATGGATGAAGCAGACACATCAAGTCCTTACTGCAACTTACAGGCAATCGGAAAGAAAAACCTTAATATAAAGCACAGCAGCAACAGCCTGATTCCTGTTTAGGTATTCTAGCACGATCTGTGGACTACACCACTCAGCAAATGCCGAACCGCGCAAACTACAAGGCCGTAATTGACTGTAAACAATATGATCCAAGTTTCGGTGTGCGCAAAAATACAACAATCTTCTAAAGAAACTGGTGTGTTACGGTCCTATTATCTCCCTACGATGTTTGCTGTAGGTGGGGTGGCAGACATTTGCCTAAGCTTCGTTTCAGCTAAAGTCCAGACGCAGCCGACGCTACGAGCTAAAGAGGCCAATCAAGCAGCGTCAAAAGCGCAAGTCACTATTCCTCTTTTGGTTATGATTGGTTCAGCCATAAAAGAACACATACAGAAACCCGTCAAACGCCATGATGGTGCGCTTCTGCTGCCATGTGATTGGTCCCTTCAGTTCGCACCGTCACCTGCGTCTGAACGTAAAGTGAAACGAAGTATAATTGTTGCGCTGCTGTTAGAGCATAGGCAGAGTTCACTCAAATTTCCAGCCTATGCAAATCTTGCCACCGAACAGATCGTGCATATATTGGCCAAACAATGTTTTTCTGTGTAGAAGGTGTCACGAGCGAGCTCTCGTTGAATAATCCGTTGTGGTGCAGCGCAGGCGTTCTCATGGAAACGTTTTGTCGCGTGATTAACGACCAAATTGTTTCGAGATATAGACCTCTTCAATAATCGCCCTCTGGGCTCTTCCATCGGTGTCTACTGGTCTATGGAAGGCGTTCTGGCATGCGCAGTTCCTCACTTCCAAGAAATATGAGACGCCGCGCTTGCGTTCGCAGCCCAGTGTCTCAGCATTTTTCGTCCGGTTCAAAAGCTCTGCAAAGGTCCACACCCTGTTTTACATTTCAATCCGACCGCGGCCGACGCTATGATCACTTAGAGCTGACCAAGCCGCGACAAAGATGTACCGTCACAAAGATCGTCGTGGCACCCATCGTCTTTGCGCGTTTCCTGTGATTGACTGAACCAATGCGGTCTGCAAGTTCGTCTGCTTCTTTTGCAGGGGTTGCGGTGACGTCTAAGAGACGCCGAGCTCTGACCAGCTTGCTTCGAGATCTACCCACTATCCTTCAATCAGAGCCAATCAGAACTCGGCGTCTTTCTGACGTCACCGCAACCCCTGCAATAGAAGCAGACGACTTGCCCTCCGCATTACGCGCAGACGATGCGGCAGAATCCTTCGCGTTCTTTTTTTTTCTACGTGATAGGATTTTGCAGTCGTAATTAGTTTAGCAAATGCGCAAAGCATACAAATGCCGTGACGGTGCACTTTTTTGCACAGCTAGGTTATTTCGATCGGACTGTAGTGTTGGCAGAGGTCGTATTTTATGTGAAACAGAGTATAATAGCACATCAAGAAAACAAAAAAAAAGGTAGGTGGATCATTTTGAGGTTTGTAACTTTGAATACCTTTAGTTTCTCAAAAGATAATATAGTTAGTTGGAGATGGTGTTAGAGTTGTTGGAGTTAGTGGTACTAACCACACTAACTGAACTCGCAGATACGCTTTTTGGTGCTTCGCTTAGTCTGAAAACCTAGCCAAAAAACATTTCCCGTAAAACAAAATAGTTCTGAATAGTATCTATCTTCCCTGTGTAAACAAATGTTTTGTAATCCAAATGGTTTTTATGGCTTGTTTTGAATTTATTAAAGTACGCTTGTTGCAGTAATGACTAGGGGAACGTTGGCGCCATTGTCTCGCTCGAGTGTTATTTGCGATACCCGAACTCTTCCACTCGTTACGGCGCGAACGCTGACGCACTGTGTTGCCTATAGGTTGTGTTTACCCGTTGCATTAGGTGGCAATAACGGCCTGGAAGGGGAGATCACACCTTAAATCAAAAGGCAAAATGCGGCGAGATCGAAGCTAAGACTAACTCGCCGCATCGGCGGCTCTAATATTCAGCTTCAACTTCCTAGAGCCGAACCGGCGGCTCTAGGAAGCTGAATCGTCCCCGACCAACGTTTTGTCGAAACAAATTTACAACATCCGAAAAAGAATATTAGCAGCACATATATGGACGAACGGATCCTTCAGTCACCTTAAACGCGTATTGAAAATGCAGCCCTCCGGCGTTCGACATGAGCGAGCGCGGGACATCTTCACATGTCGCAGCGGCATTGAATAATTCAGGGCGCACTTTGGACTAGGCTTATCCGCTCAGTAATGAGCTATTGCTTCGGGGCGTACAGAAAGGGCGCCATACATTCGTTCGGCGTGTATCTCGCGTCGGCAGTCAGCTCGCATTATGTCGTGTCTAGCACTCGTCCCCATTCATTTTTACTTTTTTCTTTTTTTATCATTTCGCGTTACAGAGGCAGATAAACGGCATTGCGGGTAGTGGATTTCCTAACTGTGCCTTTCGCCCGCGACTCTTCGTGGGCCTGCTTGTGCGTTCTTCACTTGTTTGTGCGCGTCAGCGTGAGCAGAACCGGCGTTTCGCTTTCCGTTAATAGTTTATCCGACCTGCTCGCGCCCCGCCTAGGACAGAAACAGAAAGAAGAGAAAAAGAGGGGAGCGGCCAAGTGGCCTAATGGCTGCGACGTGCGGTGAAATATTCAAGGGAGCCGTGTGGAATTGCGCTTCGCAATCGCACGGGGCTGGAGGTGAACCTCGCCGCGAGCGGCTTTGTTGCGCGGGCGCGCAGCTCACCGCCGGAGTCGAACAGACAGGGCTCGTAAACCGAGACTGGTGGCGAGTTTCGAAACTTCTCTAGAGAGGCTCCCTATAGGTTCCACGCGTAAATTAGGTGCGTTGCAGTTGTCTGCGGGTCCGCTACTGCGATTACCAATGCAGCGAGAAACTGTTCGAATGTACCTCTTTTTGAAGGAGGGGTCTGCGCTCGCACGGGTTCTCCTCACGGAGCGGGTGAAAGCTTTAACTAGGGTAGGCGTCTTGAATGGGAGTCGCGGCACCTCTGCTGCCCCTTCCACCACTCGTCCGAGTCGCGGAGGAGACGGTAGTGGTAGCGGAACTCCCCTTTCTGGCGCCAATCGCTCTTTCAGCTTTTGCGACTTTGTTTAGTCCTTGCGGGAAAAAGGGAAAAAGATCCATTGGTACTCATCGTAATCTGCAGAAAATGCGAAAGAGGTTCTGTTTGGAGGGACGAGAAGGTTAAGCCGGGTTTACACTAAAACCCTTAAGATAAATAAAACGAAAAACACACTGAGCGCTTCTTCGTGGGCCACGTTGAGTTGCGACCTACGTTTGGGCATCTTACGAATTCTTTTTGACGCCAAAAGCGTTCTTTGTGACCCTTGTCGCCAGCGATTCACATGAATAGGCTGCGTTCGTGTGTATGTCGCGCATGCCTTTCTCAAGCCCGCTTGTGACTTTAAGGTTTCACACCTGCTTATGCTAGGCTCGTGCGCCTTTTTTTAAAGTTCAGAGAGGGATTAGCAGCTTTGCGTTACTGCCGCAAAAAGCTGATATCTTCTGCAACTTTTGAGAAGTGAGAAGTTTAAAAATGCCAACCGAGCGGCCAAAACTGCCCCGTGCGATTTCACAAGCCACTTCGTCTTTCACTTGGCCTCCCATGGTTTACGGGGCAGGAAGGAGGGAGTGGGAAGGGTGGTAGAGAGTGGGTGTACTATATTGTTTATTTCAATTCAAAGAGCCTTTGATTTCAGAGAAATGTAAACACTGTTTTTTTTTACGAGTAGGAACGTTTCGGGTTCACCGCTGTATACATAATATTTATAATGCAGAATTCTGTTTAACGGAAACTGACACTTCTCGTACGTTTCTATCACGGCAGAATTGCCCCTGTAACATTTTCACCCGTCGCTCTCCTTGCGCTCCATTGGTCACTTGACCTACTACGTTCAGAGTCATGTTGTGCGTGTGTCATCTCGAGGAAGAAGTGGTAAAAACAAAACAATAAGCAATATTTAAAGTAAAAGCGCAGCCGCACGTATCAGGAAACCTGAAATAAAATCTGTGGCCCGAATGTTTTTTTTTATATAAATTGAATTTTTGCGTCTGACGGTATGATGGATAAATCAAAATTCAGTTTTATTTTTATTGCCGAAACCATCATAGCTATAAGCCAAACTCGCCCTAAAAGGTTATATAAAAAAAAACTGGTTCGCTTAATTTTATACTGTATTTTGCCCCCTGATCCTAAATATGAACACCATACACTTCCTCGACAAAGAATACCAAACCCTAAACAAAGTTAAGTAAAACCGCCGGCCATTATTTAACGCACGGACTCTGGGTCACACCTCGCGCGTCATTCTTGTGGGCGAGCATGTACGTGCAATGGCACGCCTACTAACATTACATTCGCGTGCCTATTTGGTGTGGTTGAACGCATGGAGCACAAATTAGCTGTACCGGGAGCTCTTTGATAACATTGCTTCAAGGTGCTTGTATCGATCCAGTCCTGCACTGACGGACGCTTGAAAGTTAAGAGAGGAAAACAACAACAACAACAACAAAAAAAAAACACTTTATGAAAGCACATAACCGCTTTCCAGAGCTGGCAGAATAATGGCCACTCCCACCGCAGGAGGACTACCACGTTTTCTAATACCGAGTGTCCTCAGAAAGTCTTCCTAAGTGCTCCGTTAAATCGAATCCCTTTTATTCGCCGGGGCGGGCGGGGCGCTTTTTGCACCAACCCGTTTCTGTTCCTTCATCCTCCTGTCTTTGAGGAACTCGGGAACGAAGGCGTCGCAGTAGTAAATGCCTTGGCTCGCTCTTTAGAATTACGCAATTGATCCGAATTCGTCGCGTGTCTTTGATTGTGCGTGACGCGTGAAGCGACAGGCGCATTTCCGCGATGAACGCACCACAAACACACACACACACACATAAACACACTCAAAGTGCGCCGCGCGGCCCGCTTTTCCGGTGTCTCTCTGCGCGCGGAGAGTGCCCGCCAGAGAGTACAATGGGGTTGCTTCTCAAAAATTGCCGCTCCTTTCTTTTTACCCTCTTCCCGCGGCCGTCCTTGCTTCCTTTCCGAAAAAAGGCATTTGGACGATTGGGACAATGACTTGTGAAGGCTGCCTGCCTTCTTCTTCGTCTTTGCGAATTGGTTCAGGTGAAACGAGACGACAGGAAGCGCGCACACTTAGCATGAAACGCGGCATCGCGGGTGCAGCCCCCCTTCGAATCCATTTCCTGATCAAGAACGGCTCTTTCGTTTGCTTGCGGGCTTCTTCCGCTCTTTGACGGGGAAGAACTCGGGCGCCGAGAGGGCCGGTAATGCGGAACAAAGGCCCCTGCGTCGGTGGATGTGGCGGCGTTGACGCCGATGAGCTTGTCGAGTGCTGCGGCGGCAGGTCCTCGCGAACACTTTATACTCCGCCCCCCCCCCTCCCCCTCCCTCCCTCCTCCTCCTTCGAGCTTTGAAACCTTCTGCTCTTTAATTCTGGTATACTTTTTTTTATTATTTCTGGTGCGGACGTCCACCGGAACATCGTCGCTACCCTACGTCCGGACGTCGCTACCCTACGTCCGGATCACGTTTTGCTTTCGCCCTTAGAACTTAGCCTTGATCTTGGTTTGCTTGGGAGGTGGGATCCTACTCACTCATTGTATAAAGGAATGCGCATCGTTCTCCACTATCGCTATGATTTATACGTAGAAATACATTTATCTTGTTATGAAGGGGACAAGCTCGCATGTGCACACGTGTTCCTTTGCTTTCCCACCGCCGACTGCGGTTGCACCAAGTGCCTTTTGAAGAAGGTAGTAACGGCATCGTTTTAGAAGCTGTCGCTTTCGGAGTCAAATAGCTGATTGGGGAAAATTGGTGACCGATCAGCAGCAATCAGAGTAACGTTTAATGTTAAATATCAGAAACAGCAGAGCGATGGTTTTATGTGGCGCGTTCAGCATTATACGTTTTCTTTTCTTGCTTTGACGATAAAAGCGTGTTAAATATACAAAATCTACGCGCGCCGATATATATATATTTTTACATCGTTAAAAAAGAAAAACCGCCATGGTTTTGAAGTTTTTACAACTTTTGATTTTGTTTTTTTCGACGGATGATAAAGGATGTTCGTCGCGCTTCTGTTACTGGGCTGTTCAAGACGCGGCTTTAGTTAAGCGAACTTAGTTTTATTTACTCTAATTGATAATCGGACATTTAATAAACGATGATGTATTGTTTCGAGCACGTTTCATAAAATTTGATTTCGTCGGCCTGTCATGCCAATTTTCTCATGGTTCTCTCTGTATTTTGTTTCCTTAGAAACGACGAGATCATCGCAGGAGACCACACGACGGAACTGGTGCTGCCGCGGGTTACGCGAAACTTCAACGGAGACACGATCACCTGCGAGGCCCGGAATGATGTCGGCACGACCAAGTCAACCCACACGCTCAACATTCACTGTGAGTGACCAACTCGTAGTCAAAGTTATTCTTGAAATCTATGCAAACACCATGTTGTGTAGGTATTCTCTACCTGACCCACTAGGAGATCTAAACGAAAGAATTGTCGAATCAGCGCGCTATTTTGATTCCTCGCGAGCCCTCCACGTAAGCGACTTTCCCGATTATTTCAATTTGTTTTGGGCGAATTTCTTTAAACGTCTTATAAAACATAGGTATTATACATGTACGTATTCAGAAAGTTACTGAGGGTAGTCGTCGCAGCCCATCGAATGCCATAGGTCGTTCTACCGACGGCCTTATGTGATGCTGTTAACAGAGAAAGCTTATTTCTGGTAGATTTCTTGGGGTGTCATGGTTACAAGCGTACCCTTGAAAGTCTAGCAACACAATAATAGAACTGAAAGTAGGAAGTTTTTTTTTTTTTGAAGTCGATTGGTGAATCAGTGAACTCAATTCTGCTGCTGCCAGTGGTATGACAGGACGTTGAACGCCGCTTTCAAAATTCTGCGCACAGTGTTTTCCTTATTTTAAAGCTAGGTCGTTTCCCTCGGCAAAACATTACACACGCTCAGCGTAACCCGGCGTTTCGAAACCATCATGGTCATGGCGACATTTCAAAGCGTGTATGAGCACGCCTAAAGTTGTTGTCCAGAAATTAATAAAAAAAATAACAAAAAAAAACGTGCCGAGTTAACGCTTTGCCTAACTAAGAGGAAGCCTTGAATACACGACGCATGAGGTCTTACATTCCTGATTCGAACGGTGCGCACTTAATCCCTGTTCCACTTGTTTCACGTTTCTTTTTCCAGGCCACAGAAGTTTTCGCTGTGAATTTTGACAGGCGTGAGCTTCCCGTTTTTAGAAGGTCTTCGTCGCTTGGTGGCGTGGCTTCAGATAGATATTGTGTTGACGTCATGAAAGGTTATTAAAATTTAAGCTTTGTTTTAAAGGTGCTTGCTTATGCGGATACAAGGTTACCGAGCACGTTCATCTAAATTTAAATATTTATTTTCCGCCACAAGTTGTATACAAAGTGAAAGCTCCTCGCAAGCAGGTGGAGGGTCCTAATAACAGGACGGAATCCTCGTGTCAGAAATAGCTCTTTCGAATTCGGAATTGCTTATTTGGTGGCTAAGATTTCAATTTGTGCATATTTTTTATCAGTTTATGACGCATATTCAAACAGTGTTGTCAGGTAGACTAGCCGGCAGGGTGTAAAATATGCGATTACAGTGTAAACGTGTAAGAATAGACAATGTGAGAAAAATATCACTTGCTGATAAATGAACATAGAATTATTTGAATCCTGAAAATTTCTCAGACTGCGCTCTGCCTTCACTCAAGTTAACTGCCATTACTTGTTTATTTCAAAATGCGATGGGCAGGTGACACATTTTACTACTATGGCACTGCTTCCTCTTCCCTTTTTTTCCGTTTGTGATTTGACCTACATTCTATGCTATTTGTTATTCTCATATGACCTTTGGGCACTTTTATCCTTCCCCGAAAGGATTTCTTTTAGCAGGATGATACCAATGAAAAAAATGTCACCGTCTCCTAACTCTTCGCCCCTCTGTTTTTGTAGTTGTAAAACCTACGCACCCCAGCACATACACAGTACACGGACGGAGGCACGAACGCACATGTTCGCAGAGTCATTCGACGACCTAAAACACAAAACAGAGAAGGAGGCGTTAGACTAGACTGAGATCTTGGGGATCCTTATTTTCATTTTTATTTTGGAATCGTTTTTTTTTTCCTCCCTAGATCGTATTGTATATAGCGTCTTTTTTACTTCCCCAGCTTTCTTTGAAAGTTGCTTCCTGCAGGTCTTGCGTGTATTTTTTTTTTCGTTCTGCTTACTGAATCTATTTTGTCTTCATTTGAAATCGCAACATCGCTATTTTTGTCCAGCATTTCTTTTTATTTCTACATACAAGAGCTTTGAGACTGGTATTTTCTTTTTCTTTTGAAGAGGCCTCGAAAAGAGCTCGCCAAATTTGATTAGGGAGCTTTTTCTGGCCCCAAATAGGCGTCTGCGAAGCATCGGCCGGTTTCTGCGGGAAACAAGCTACGACGTTTAAACGGATTGGATAACTTTTGAATCGCCTGGCTTCTGGAATAACGTATCCGGCCACGAATCGTTTTCCTACCAACTCGTTTATAATTTATGTCAGCATTCTGTTTTGAATTGATAGGCAGGGATTGCGGACTTACAACTGCTTGCTTTGGGCCCTCCGCACTGCCGAGGGATGAAGATCATTTATATTTCTGAATGATAAAAATGCGACATGAGTAGGAAACTCCTCTTCGTTTTTCTTGGCTTCGCAGCAATTCCGAATAATGTGCTCAGCGAACGTGCTCAGGCATTTGGATAGAGGAACTCAAATTAGCATTATATTGTCTCGCCAGTGCTGATATGCATCATCAAATCTAATGACAAATCGCGTCTCGCGCTGTGTTATTAATCGCGTTTTTCTTCGCACGGTGCTGAAAATTACGCATCGGCCCAACAGTAACCTTATTACTTTGCCGGGCCTTCCCTTGACCTAGCCGAAAACTTTGGGAAGTAATTGTAAGCCCACTATTGCTTTATTGGAAGTAACGTGAATTCGCAGTTGTATGTTTATTGTAATAGAACACAGACCACGGCGCACCAACCCCATTAATATTTTGATAGTCTAAAATCAGTGAAATTCATTTTTTAAAAGGAAACATTTGTTCACTCTCCACAATCGGCTAGTGGCGAAATGAGCTGAGTCCGCTGCTGTTTTTTCAAGAATATTTTTTACTAATGTCCAATGATCTGTGTAGTGACAAAGATACATTTGTTGCGAGAGCATATTTGTTTGGTCTATGTTACAATGAGCTTGTTTTGTGCTTTCTGCCACTTGTTTGCGCATTAAGCCTCTTGTGCAGAGCGAGGGCAAAACATACTCTGGCTTACCGTAGGCTTACTTGCGCTTAAGAATTTCCTTATGTAGATGGCGTTCGATTAAGAGGGCTCGATTTAATGTCCCTCCTTAAACACAATATTGTTTCTGAAGTATGAGGGATCCTTTTGCGGTTTGTAGCACAGTTTATACAGGAGGATTGGCGCTTATGAGAGATCAGCCTATAGTACTTTATATCGATGGATGTCTTCCTTCGCTTTGCGTAGGTGAAACTTAATGGTAGACAGCGCAATGGTGTTTAAATATGTCCTCCATTTTCTAAAGCCAGCAGGGTTAGGCGCGTAAGATTGTCGTCTGCGCATTCGAAGTTCATGTATTTCAGTACTGTTTTAACGCTGTAGAATGCACCTTCAAGACGCTCGCCGGCGAGTGAGGTTGCAACCTGCTCAGCAATTATTAGGGATGAAAAAAAAAAATATCAGAGAGTGACTACAGCAGCGTGTGTATGGTCTCGATAAAAATCGACAGCCCTAGTAGGCTAGTACATTGAATATGCCTGGCATCACACTTATGGGTTGCCCCCCCCCCCCCCCCCCCCCCCCAGCGGGAAAATTTACATTCCATTTTATTTATTTCCAATATATTTCATTTATTTTATTAGGGTTTACTAGAAATTCGTAAGAACACACAATCGAAAGAAACATTCCTCAAAGGTGGTGACGCTTCCCTACCAAAAAATACGGTATAACTTTTCACTATCCGGATTATGGAACCGGAAATTTGTTACTGGAAACCCGAAATTCAGATTGCAGACAAAGGAGTTATTTCTGAAAACCTAGATTCGAGATAGATTCCAGATAAATTTCCGGTTCCATAATCCGGATAGCGAAAAGTTATACCGGATTTTTCGGTAGGGTTATCAGCAATCATGAGTATCTAAATTAATGTCTCGCTTTTTGCGTGATTCTATAATTACCGTTTCTACCCTTGACGTTCAAAATGATCAGCGATTTCCTAACGCACATTTTGTTTCTAGCGGATATTTTTAGTGCAAGCTGTAAACTGAAATGAGCCCAGTGTACCTAAAAGTGACCTACTTTTTGTTTTAGTCAAGAAGGAGGAATAATTTAATCTAGTTGCAAAACGCGCAGAGCTTCAGACGCGGTAGGTCGGCGTCCGGCGTTTAGCTTCGGCAATCCAATGCGTTCGCCTAGTGCAGTGGAGACAAGGGCAGCCAGCTTTCGGTCTACCCACTAATCAATGCAACCAGAGCTCGGCGTCCTGACGTCCTTGCACACTCTCACCTCCTCCTCTTTCTCAGTTTGTCGGCGCATAGTCATTCACAACTTAAGAAAACGCAGCGCGCGTCTCTTTGTCGTCTCGATTATTACTTCTCGGTTCGTTCTTAGTAATTATTGATCGGTGTATTCTGTAATCGCATGGGGTACGGAGCGATGCTCAGATGCTCGGTACACGCCTCGTTCTGCGTTTCCTAAGCTGTCAACGATTGCATAGACGATGGTTTCTCGTACAACCTCGAATCGTCCGCAAAGAAGGCGCCGAGCCGAAAGCCCGAGAGTCATTCTGGCGGCCTCGGGGCGACGCGCAGATCGGCCGGCGTTCAAGAAGCCCGAGGAGACGGTTGCGGCCGAGGAAGGCACCGAGGTGACGCTGCACTGCGAGGTGGACTCCAACCCGAAGCCGGACATCGTCTGGCACCACGAGGGCTCCGAGCGCGTGCTGGGCAAACAGGCCACGCTCGTCATCCCGGCCATGCGCTCGCACGACGCCGGACGCTACTCGTGCCGGGCCACGGTGCCGGGCTTCCCTGAGATCACCCAGGACGTGCACGTCTACGTCAAAGGTGCCCCTTCTCTGCCCCTCTTGCGCGCGCGCTTTCGTGCGCCGTTGCATTAATGGCTTTCTCGGCGCTGCACTCGCTAGAGTCGCTAATTAAGATACGCTTAGGGTGGAGGCGCATCATTCCAGTATATTGACCCCTCAGCGTCTTCATTTGACGCACCGGTGGGATATTATACACGAGCGCCGAAAATTCATATCTCTTTTAGTTTCTATTTTTCTATCTCTTCGAGAAATTCGTTGACTTAAAAGTATGATTAACTCTCGCTAGAGAACCGAAATGTGAATGATGAGAAAAAAAATGTATTACCGGAAAAAGAGTACTCAATTACTCGAAGAGAGCACGCGATATTGTAGATACTTTCACATGCCGTTCAAATCTGCGCCTCTTGCATGTTGGTGCTTTCTCCGAGTGTCCCTCTACATAGCTGTCGGGCCCGATTTGTTCGCGCAAAGACGGTTGTCGTTTACTCTCGTCAGGTCCTCCGAAGGTCAAGAGCCCGACGACCCAGTACGGCGTGGAAGGCGAGGAGGTCCGGGTTGAGTGCGTCATCACATCTGTGCCGCCACCGACCCGTGTGGCCTGGTCTAGAAACACCCAGGCAAGTTCGCCCACGAGACGCGTCGCTAGTAAACCGTTTTGACACGAGGTCCGAATGCAGCAGAAGCTAGGATTCGATATCGATGTCTTGGCGCATTTGCTGTCATCGGCAAAGCAAATCAACCGCGGTGCAATAAAAAAAAAACGCACATGATCTTTGCGCATTTCCTCTGCGTGACCGGTAAAACCGGATATAGCGAACGGACAAAGACAACGAACGGCGTGACGATAAACTTTTGGTGCCGCCCGATTGGATCAATTCGCTTTTACCGTCCGCTGCGCTCAGAGCTTGAAAGGAAGCTAAAAAAGTTATTGAATTCGAACAAACTTCAAAGGTTGTAATGTAGACCCCTTAAGAGTTTACTTATCTTAAGTTTCTTTCGACCTTGTTAGTAGGAGCGTCGTAATAGGCAGTCTAAATTTCGAAGTAGACCGGCCCCTTCGCGGCGTGACGACGCTAGGAGAGTACGAGAGCAGAGAGGAAGAACAGGCAAGAGTGACGTCATCAGTGGGATCAGATGACCCTTGTTCCCCACTTAAAGCTGTCTCGGGGATGCCGTCAATGTCCTCGAGGTGCTCTGGACAGATCACAGGCGGCAGCGATCTCTTTGCGTATTGATCAAGAGAAACGCGATTGACGTTGATTTTGGCCAGGGATAAGTGCGATGTCTGATTTCGCGGGACCAAAAGTCACAGAAGTCCGCTCCTAACTCAAATATCTTGAAAATTCCTTCAGCTTTCTTTTAAAGAGAAACAAGGTACATTCGTGTCACGCGTGGTGTTTGATGAAGTTCCATTTCGGAGAGGGGTGAACCTGCGCTCGATACCTGCTCTGCACATTTTATTTGGCATGCACTGCTTGACCTCTTTTGTACCTGCCTTCAGTATTAAAGGTTTCTGACTGAACATGTGGAAGAAATGTTAGACAAGGCTTTCGGCGAATCGGATGGGAGACTTTGTCGTAATTATATGCAGATGAAAGCAATGCAGAAGCCAGACATTTTTATGCAAGTTCTATAACCGTGCTTTTTAACTGTTTTTTATACTTCCACTTTTTAAACTGCTTGAATGAGGCATACCGGAAACCTGACGGTTTGGCCACGCCTAAACTAAAAGTAACAAAAAAAAAGAAAAGACTTGCAGGCGAGCTGGTTAGCTTTCAAAATTTCGAGAACCCGAGACCCAGGAGCCTGTATCTGCGCCGTCTCCCACTTTTGTTGTCTATAGGAAGCAACAGCGCAACTTAACGAGCTTCGTTTTTGTTCTTGTTTCTCGGATTTTCAAGATGCTGAATTCAAAATTTAGTGGTTTTCTCGGGAAACTCTTTCTTTGCAGTAGGTCTCCTGCAGTTCAAGGAGAGGTAGGCATTTATAACGTTACAAGAAATTCACTCGTCTTTCTTTTCAATCATTATCGTTTGTCACTGTCTGGTTATGTGTCACTTGGGACCGTTTGAGCGTTGTTCCAGCCACAAACTCATCCCTATTAAAACCCTCGTCACACAAACCCAGACAATCAAAACATATGATAATAGAACTACTTGGCTACCACTTGCTTACTAGTTACCGGTAACGGCTTCCTAATACAAACTCTCTCATTTATATGCTCGTATCGACTATAATGTGTAACATTTTCCTTCCGGGAGCGTTTGCCTAACGTAAGGTCATAAGCGGGCAATGATGCGAAACTAGGCATCCCGAGAAAGATATATTCAACCCCTATGAACAATCCTTCGTTCCGAAATCAAAGGCCTATTTACCCGCGTATAGGTCTGCAGCAGCCTGTAGGTGAAAGAGGGTGGAGGCCAAAGAAGCATGGCTGGCGTAATGGTGACGCCTATATATTCTGCACATTTTTTTATTCGTTTAATATAATCAGATTGCTGTTCTTTGGTGATGCTGGCATGCGTGACTCCATGCCGTCTATAAAGAAAACGAAAGAATTCCGGGCGCAACGGAAGTAAACACCACGCACGCGCCTATCTTATGGCGAGCTCAGTCGGCGCATATTGGCTGGTTTACGTTGCGGCTAACCCTTGATCACAGACGGCGGCCTTTTTTCTCCGCCGTAGAATTTTTTTCGGTTGCATTTCGATTGGTCCGGCTGCTTGATCGGCGACGCTCGCTTTCTTGCTGTGTCTGGCAGGTCATGACGCAAGTGAGACCCTCGTTAAAGGCAGCCACATGCCCGCGCTCCCTTCATTTGCATCGCTTATGCGGCGATTATTACGTAATGCGGCAGTATAGTGCGCCATGTGCCGGGGCGCTTTGAGCCGACTCGACAGACAGTCCGTTCCAAAACTCCCGGGAGGATAGCTTAATTACCCCCGAAACCTGGTCTTCTTTTGTGTGACTTCTTTTTTCTTTTTGTTTGTAATTTCTTTATTTCTTTCTGAAAGTAAGGATGACACGTGGTAATTGCACCCAAGCCTGTTATTAGAATTTGCTGCGACATGCTCCCCAGGTAGGTAATTCTTGGGGCTCAACAAAAAACGACTCGAAACATTACAATTTGCGATAGGGTCGAGACAGCGCCTCTCGCGTCCAGCGCCGGCTGCTTGCCGATATTTTTGCGCGGGGTGTTATATAATGCCACCGGTCTTTTGGCCGGAGGGGGACCGGACGAAGTACTTGAACTCGCCAAGAGAAAAGGAGAACGGCGCGACACGAGGGAGCCCTCGGAACAAGATTCGTCGTTCTGAACGAGAGCAATGACTTGGTCCTGACCGGGCGTCGAAGACAAGGAAGGGGGACAGTGCGGGTCCGCGGACGAATGGGGAACAGGCGGCAGAGATAAGACTGCCATCAATCCTATAGAGGACGCCGTGGGGATAGAGGACACGCGGGGATAGAGAAGTGAGGAAGCAACCCCTGACGATGACGAAACGCTCCTTAATGAGTATTGATTGGGGGCTCTTGGAGACGCGACGCCTGCGTGGGCTCCGGACGCAGTGTTGTTCCGTTGTCCCAATTCGTTTTCGGCGACTCCCGTCCGTGCCTCCTTCGTTTGGTCTACGCATTTTTCTTGTTCTACTTGCGTTTGTGCGGGTCGAGCAGATTCATCTTGGGGTGTCAACGCAGCGCGGACAATGCCTTTGGATGGAAGCTCTACACTGGCGATTAGCGGGGCCCGTCGTTTTCGTTGCACGAGCACGCCCGCTAATGCGATGCTGGTTGCGCGAAAGATGCATGCCGTTGCGGGTACAAAGACGTCTTTACTGATGTGGATGACACTTTTTTTTATTTTTAAATCTGTGCTCAGTGTCGCACCGCCACTTCTACCGACGGCGTGCAGGACTTTTTTTTTTTAAGAACATTCATGCTGTTGTTTTTCTGTTGAACCAATATGACTTGCCAAGTTTTTGTAATAATGCCGTATTTACTCGAGTAATAGTTGCACTATTTATGAACAAAGCGCTTGCATCTGCGTTGCCACAGAACACGTATACAACCAATCATTGGGTTGCGCATTAAATAACAGAGCAGATAACAGAGCAGATAACCTGATCGAGAATATGATTCTCTATACAAATTCAATCTTCAAAGATGGTATCTTGGCACGAGGACGTTATTTCTGTCCTGTAAACAGCTCGAATCATGCTGTCGAACGCGGTGATTGGCAATCTGTCTGGTCCACTGAAAAGCGAACCCTCAGGCTTTCTTCATAAGCAGTGCAGCTATTACTCGAGTAAATACGGTGACTACATTCTGATAAGGCTTTTCTTTGAAAGCCTCCCATTTTAGCTTCTGCTTAACTTATCGTTCATTGACCCATTATCTTTTACTATGGCAGACCCCTTCAATCACACTTGTTGTTGACTCTGTGTCGTTCTGTTTGTTTTGCAGCTTGTAGACATTGACAACAACCAGGGATACGAGATCATCAAAGAGCCACTCTCAAATGGGCTTCGCAACTTATTGATCATTCATAATGCTGAAGAGGACGACTTTGGACAGTACAACTGTTCAGTTTGGAATCCGTTTGGTTACGATACCCGACTCATTACAGTCCGCAAACAAAGTGAGTAGCTTGTTTTTGATATATGTTTGTCCAATTAACTTTTAAAGGTATTACAAAAGAGTACTTGGAGTTGCACCAACAGCATATTACACAATAATAGGGATAGCGGTATTGATAGTAGCCTTAGTGGGGCTACTATCAATACTACTATTGATAGTAGTGTTGATAGGTCCACTATTAAATACTACTATTGATAAGTCCACTACTAAATATTTATCTAAATTTTAGTTGTGGTAGACGTAGCATAAATAACTGAAACAAGGATGATATTGTTCAGGAGCTAAACTATACCAAAATAGTCGAGTTCAGTATAAGTGCCAGTGAAAGTAATTTAAGTAGCCGTAAATTATCATCGTGACTGTGGTAGTGCTATTACTTGTAATGCTTGTGATGAATGCTAGCTGTTTTGGTGCAGACTGCACTAGGTTTTGCTTTTATGATAGTTTCGGTCCTAATGTTTGACTTGCAGTTTTATTGAGAAATAGCAAAAGCATCAGGATAAAAAAAATGCAGTAATTGTAAATGGTTGTCTTAGATGTGACCAGACTACTGTCTGGGTCAGTGCTGATATCAATAAAGGTAGGCTTAGCAGTACTACCTGCTTTCGTAGTAGTCATAGTGAGGTAATTGATACTTCTTTTTGGCTTAAGCCAGGGATCACTTCAGGACCAAAGCAAAATAATAATGTGGTATTATACTCAATGAGAACCATGTCTAGAATTATTAAGTTACAATTTAAATGGCTATTCAAATTCCATTTCACCCTCACAAATGGTTCACTAGATCTCACATGTCTCAGTCTTTTGTAGTATTGTTTCTTCTATTAAAAATAGTATAGTTTTTTATCAAAAAGTGGTACATTGGCTTGACACCTAAAATACCATATATTTTACTACTCAAAACTCGGCATCAGATAGGCTATTGTCACAATTATTGTTATTAATTCTGCACAATGTTATTGACTTTTTGTAATGTTTTTCCAGGAGTGAAACAAACCGGTCAGTCAAATTTTTATTTGGAGCTTACACAAAGCACGGTTTTATGGGGCCTACTGATTCCGTTGTCTGAGAAATGATGTGCCAAGGTTGTTGGAGTTATGGGTGCATTTCTTGCGCTACAGTTATTCTTTAGCATCGCTGTGCGATACTTCATAGAACTGAGTCTCATAAGCTCCTGGTTACATATTACCCGAGAGGACTAGTGATGTGTCTCAATGTTCGACTTTTAAATCCAGCAGGCAATTAAAAAAAGTGTACTGTAGCTCTTGTGTATTTATGAGTGCATAATCGCACCCAACGAAATCCCCGCGAGTCATGCGCGCTGCCGCTCATTTGCTGCAATGCTGCGCAAACCGGTTTCCGCCCTTGTACATTAAAAGTGTTATGTAGTGCGAAAGTATGTTTTTTACATATTTACACAAGCACGACCCCATACACACATTATAACTTGCTCTCCGGTCACTACACTTCATTTGTGCAAGGCTGGACTGTGATGATGCTGCATTTAAACTAAAGACTATTCGTGTAAAGAGAGCAGGTTTCATGGGAAAGGTTTGACGTGAAGGGCAGGACTCGCGCTTCTGGAAGGAAAGCTTTGAATGAAGGCCAAAATGGTAAAGGAAAGTCAGCATGTCATATCTAATGATAAGTTATACAGAGTTACGTAACCCTTTCCATGTGTTGTTTTTCTTACATGCTTGCCGCCTTTCGTGCAGTTTGTAACCTTTAACTGTCCAAACATTGCAATACGACGAGACAACAACACATTTAGTTAAGATAGGCATGTAGTGGAAAGAGGCCACTTCGGTATTTATCATAACTTTTTTTCTCAATTTATGCTAATACGAAAAACAAGGTCATGGACAGAATGATAATAAAATTTGAGGAAGTCTGTTTTTTAAAAGATAATTAGGTAAAGTGATCGCTGTTTTTTTGTTTTTTTAACGAGAAATTTTGTCCGCAACTTATTAGCAAATGTGGGGAGTCGGCTTCAAAATCGCGTGGATAGATAATTATTATCCTCTCAGGGTTTTTCGAAAAAGAATTGCCTGTTGTCCGTCTGACGCGCTAATTTGATTTTAATTACACGGCAATTTTAATTGCTGCTCTGAGGCTTCTCAAAGAAGAAGGAAAGCCACGAAGCTTCCTTGGTGTGTGTATTTTGCTAAGCCTTCTCCTTCGAATCGTCTGCTTTTGTTTCTATCATTTTGGGTTGCTGAAAACCATCACCAGCCTCCCTTTTTTATTCCATATTTGGTACCACAATAAAAATATTGTCGATGAAAATGAGTCCTTCCGGAATAATTTGAGCCATCTTTTTCTCGTTAAGGCCGCACAGCGCGGCTAACCCTAATTGCCCGATGTCTCGAGGCGTAGCGAGAGGGGAGCTTCGGATCCTCATTAAGCATTCCTGTGTTAATGTTTTTTTTTTTCTTCATTTCTCTTTGCCATTCTTTCTTGGCACCCGCAGAAAATCTGCCTATGCTGATCATCCTGGCCGGGGTCATCGGAGGTATTGTGCTTGTTGTTACCGTGACCATCTCTATTATCCTCTGCTTGCGAAAGAAGAACATCGTTAAAGGTATGTTTCTATCTCTCTAGCATTGTTTAGGAATTATTTGTAAAATTGAAAACATAAATCTGGGAATATCGCGGCACTGCATACATATACTCCGTTTGCGAAGCAGACTGCTTCCGTGTTTCGCTTAGGTCAGCCGTTTAATGCCAAGTATTGCGGGATGTGAGCGTTATTCTTTTAAGAGACGCACATCGTCTGCCGACAGTGCATGCACGAATGGCGTCTATGTTGCTTGTACATGCGTCGCTGTGCTGTCCTCTGGGAAGCGTGCGCCCTCTGCTGGCCGTTAGAAATTCCAAAATGTATGCTTGAGGAACTAGCTCGGGGTTATAGAAACGCAATTGCACACTGCCCAGCTGGAACACAAAACTTTGAATACTAACCTTTTCAACTGAAGTGTAAGATGTTAATTTCGAAAATTCTATGTGAAAAATGCATTTTGTGCAAAACTCAATGCTATGCAAAGTAGCTTTTCTGCCCTATATTTGGACTGTATGTACGAACGTGATCATGTCTCTGCAAATAGACAGTTAAGGAAAGAGTAATGAAGCACTCTGGCAGCGCAATATTTGGTCGCACCAGTACGAACTGAACATAAAGGAACTGACTTATGCTTCCCCACAATATGAGTAATGTTGCAGGGAAACAGAACCTGGGAAAACAGGGTGATTACTATTCAACAATATTGGTCAAAGTCATTACTGGACACAGTAAGAAGTTGCACCTATATATTTGAAGATGATGCTTTTTAGTTTAGTAGCGTTGATAAACGGGCTAGTTGATAGTTCATTTTAACGGGAGAAACCGCGCAGGGACACGGACAGAGTAGTAGACGGAAGACAAACACAGCGCTGACTTACACCTGAATTTTAATGGATCTGACAAGGCGTATAAACACAAAGTTTGTGCGAACCAAAAGAAAAGAAGGGAAACAACTTTTAAAATGGACGGCACATGTTTGTAGAGTCATCTGCGCACACTGTTCTTCTCTGATCTACAACCAAGCACGCTGACCTTTACTGACAAGGCAAGTGACAGGGCACTAACATATTGTCACACCGCTTGTCCTGTAGCGCGAGCTTTTATAATCTGACGCGTGAGCCTGTCCCTTTCTCTTTTGATTAGTGCATATCTTTCAAGGCTTGAGTACATCCGCAGTCGCTGCAGTGCACACCAAGATGCCTGACGCAACTTGTGACAGATTGTACCGGTGCACTCGTAACTGCAAAAGAATATTTGATATTTTACATAATTAGGACTAAGATTGTACTAGTTTGACGTTATATTATAAAATGTTTTCTGAAAGGTAACTTGCACTTCAAGACTTTGGTGTAAGTAAAATAAGATGGGAGAATAATATGGCTCTTAAATCTTCAATAACGCTGCAGTGTCTGGCTATCTAAACATTTTTGTGATAAATAATATATGTATGTCTCGTATGTTGGGTGTCCTTAAGTGGCTTGTCAAGAAATAATAAAAAAAATATTTTATCCAGGTATGTTTTAAGTTTTAAATATTTAATTAAAGCAATGCAAAATTAGCATATTATTTAATTCCAAATCTAATTTTAACCATGATTACAGTGCCATGTTGGCCATCCTCATAAATATGAGGCACAATTTTATATATGTTGGCAGGCATGATAATGTTTTGTTCCTAGTCTGAAAGCACCAGAGTTCAATGACCTACTTATGAGAGGATACAGGTAACCTGCAGAAAATATCACGGAAATGTTTTACAGGAAGATAAATATTTTGCATCAAGTTCATTTTAATGTTATTTTATAGTATTTGTTTCTGCCGAAGAATGTATTGAAGTGCTCAAAATAATCACACACATCAGCTAAAATATCAATACATCATTTAACAATCCTCTGTAGAATGTAATTTTTCCTTCTTTCTGTGCTCGTGAATTTGATATCTTGGGAGCTACTTGTATCCATTTTTTATGTAAATTTTGCATTGCCCTGCACGTTGAGTGACTGCTTCTTTTTTAGCTATTCCTTCTCTTATTTATTGATATATGTATGTAATTGGTAAACCCTCTGAACTGGGTGACAAGGAATACCGACACAAAGTTATCATTCAAAAACTAAGAAAATACTGTCACAGTGCATAGCAAATATTGAGGAATACTCTACAAATCCATCCTGACATCTATTATACTGTCTAAACTCTCTTTCCAATAGGCTTAAAAGAAAAAAAAAGTGTGAATGAAAGGGAGTAGCTTAGATTTAACGTTGACATTTCTCTTTTTTCCGTGTGGAGAAGTTACAAAGATATGAGCCCATTTTTAATAGGATCCCTTTAATACAAAAATTATTATTCACACTTCCAATATTATGACAAAATACAACGTAGTATGTATTAAATAAAAAAAACATTTCTTTCATGTCGTGGTTTAAGCTTCTAAGCATATCACCATTCTTCCTTTTTTTATTTATTCTTTCTCTTCCCGATTGACCGAAAGGTAGGCAGAGACTAAAGGCATGATGCCTGACGAGGTCCCTTTTACAGTTATAGCATATCAGTGTAGGGTACATAGCTTTTTGCAAAAGAAAATTAGAAAGTAAACTATAAAGTTTTACACAACTCATAAACAAAAAGGAGGATCAATCAATTATCACACATCGTTTTTTAACAAAGAAAGATGGAATCAAAGTAGTCAGAAACATATTTTTAACACATCAAGATGGAAATATGGACATGATTTATTAAATATAAAATACATACATATTAAAACACCATGTCACTGACCACCAGAACTGGAGTATATGGCAATGAAAATCTATTAGAGCTTCTGTATTGCTCAGAATTTTGGCGACTTGGAAGCTTCTCTTTTGTCTTCCATAATTGGTACATATTTTAGCAGGTTGTCTGATTATATGTCTAAGTGTGTGATAGGTTGTGTTTTCTGATAGAATAGCAAAGAGTTTTTTGTTTGTTTTAGCTGTAACGATATAAAATAGTTAATTTGATTTACTTTAACTAGGCCACATATGCTGAAGAGCAGTTCAGTTGGAAGATCTTGTGGCTTACCTTAATAATTTTTAAATAGTTCTATATTTTTTTTGTAATATGATGAGCGTTTTATAATTTGTTTCCAACGTCATGCTGCATACTATATGCAATCAAACAGTTTGGATTAAAATAATGCATAATGTACACTTTTAGCCATAAGGGTATGAGATTTCTCATCTAATAAATACATACATGGCTCAGGATAGCTCAGAGCTGAGCTTATTTATCTGTGTGTTCCCATGTTCCCACTGAACTCTCAATTGAACCACATACCAAAAATTTTTTGTTGATAAGGAACTCGTGGAAAGGACACACCATTCTAGATTGTAAACCTCAAACTTATTTACTTCTCCTTCAGCTTGATCATTAGGTTCAATATTTTAGAAGCGTAAAATACTAACGGAACAGAAAGTACTTATTCAATGAATGTTTGGGCTACGCAGATGACGACTTCAACTCGGAAAAGAAGGGAAAGCAGTCGGACTCTGCCTCATCGGGAGACTCTGACATCAAGGTAGAGATCCGGACGGCATCATCTTTGTCCAACAATGAGCAAGACCGCAATTGGGAGGACAATAGTGAATCAGCACGAGCGCACGAGGCTCAAGATATCTACAAGTATGCGAACAACACCGGCGACTACACAGACACTGCATTTCCTCCAAAAGCCGTAAGTAGAAATTGCTTCTCAGTTTTGTTCGCCTGGCTGTTTTGGTCAGCTTGCACGTTCTGTAGACTATGATCAGAGCTCTTTCAGAATGGCATCTTTTGTTTCAAGATCAAGTACATCCATATTTCAGAACCACAAGTAGAATGGTATTGGCTAAAGCATACTGCAAAAATAATTGTGGAGCTAAATTTATACAAAAAGAGGGAAACTGTTGTAGCAGCAATTCCAGGGAGATATTTTTCGTCAGGTTTTCAGAAGCATCAATTGTTTCGAAGAGCAACAGTGAACTGCCATGCTTGTTGAAGGGAGAGAATGAATGTCTGAAGGTAGTCTGTATTAAGGAAACTTTCAGCATATTTCAACTCCGTGAACCGTTGAAGTCAATATAATAGCCCACTCTTGACCAGTAATTCTTTTTTCATAATGTGTCCACAATAGCATTATAACAAGATCCATGAATGACTGGCTTTCCATACTTTAGCATTAATAACAGAAATTTAGCCAGAGTAGTTGGTGTTAACAAATTAAACCCAGCATTGCGAACACCCGAGACTAGGAACAAAAAATGGACAACACACACAGGTCTTGAGAAGAGCTGCATTAATTATTCCCTTTTTTTGTTTTTTTAAGGTGACTTATTATGGGCCTTCAGATGTGAGAAGTCAGATGTTAAAACAACAAGCCACACACAGACCATCTTTGGTGCACCATTTCCGATCACAAGGTTGAAAGGCACCAACCTCACATACCTAATGGCTGGCTTATCTTTATTCATACTTCACGATCATCTCACTTCCGGTCTTACAAGACAGAGAAGCAACATCTGTAATGTTTCACTCATCATTTGTATTGTGACCTGCCCCTGTAAATCTGTGTTTCTGAAGAACAAGAGATGAACCAACCTGCTACACATCTCATAGCAAAAGGCATTTTAAAGTATGTGGTGCTCACCATAAGCACCCATAAGAATAATTTGTAGATAGGATATTTTTATTGTTCGAAGCTTTACCTGACAACCAACCTGTGATACACCTTGTGAACAACAGTTTAGAAAACAAGGCAAACTTGAAACAATATTACCATTAAAAAAATATATATATATATATTGTTAGGACGGTGAAAACGATGATCGGGCAGTGTTGCTCACAACCATCTCACGCCAGGCCCCACGGGCTGGCTCCACCTCCATAAATCCTTTGCTTGTTCTATCGTCGTGTACTGTCCTGTCATTTCTGTTGCCGACTGCATCACCCTAACAATATATGTATATATATATATATATATATATATATATATATATATATATATATATATACATACATACATATACATATATACTTCTATTTTATTGTTATTTAAACTGCAACATGCAATATTGCACCTTGGAAGCAGAATAAATAAGAACCTGGCAACACTTGGAACACTATCACACCTTTATAAGCCTTTTTGTTGCCTTGGTGGACTTCTGATCCAATTTGGTTTGCAATTAAAAAATTTAGTAAGTCAAATTATGTTAGCAATGTGTCCACAGTTATTGAGATAGCAACAAAGTTTTTTTTTTGTTTTTAGGTTTTGATTGTATTCCAAGCATTCTTTCAAAAGTTGTGATAGTGTCCCAAGGGTTGCCTTGTTTTCTATTTCTTCCAGCTCCCAAGGTGTCGTGTTGCATGTTCTTGTTTGGGTATTATTAATTAAAACCTAAGTTTATAAATATATTTATATATATATATATATATATATATATATATAATAGAGGGTAGTATTGCTCCAAGTGTGCCTTTTTTTCTAAATGGTTTTTCGCAAAGAGTTATATCGTGGGTTGGCGATCAGGGTAAAGTAAAATAAATAAAATGTTAAATTTAAAAAAAGAAAGGTTTTCCTATGAGGGACCCTGGTGTGAGTACCACATAATGAGAAATTATATTTGCTATGAAATGTGTTGGAAGATGGTTTACCTGCTCTTCTTTAGAAACCCTGGTCTATGGGAACAGGTTGCAATACCCAGCATGGGGCAAAAATGTGACATGTCGCTTGTCTGGCTTGTTGGACTGCGAGTGACGAGATAACTGTAAAGTGGTGATTAGGTTAAGCAAGCCAGTTAGTGAGGTTGGTGCCTTTCAAGGTTGTGAACAGGAAAGGGTGTGTTAAGGGTGGTCTCTCTGTGGGCTGTGATGGCATCTGACTTCCTGCATCTGAAGGCTGGTGATGGATTGCTTTATAAACAAGGAAATGGGACTAAACATGACAGCTGTGTTTCCCTAGTGAAAAATGTAATTTGTATGAGAAATGTTTGCATCTTATAAAGGCATATAATAAAATAAAAGCATATAAGAATCATACAAGAGCACATAAAAAGTTGTAAGAAACTTCTTATTAGTTCCTTATAACCTCTTATATAATCTAATATTGTTCTTATATGTTCTAATCAGGTTTTTATATGACCTTATCTGATCTTATTTGAGCGTATGTGTTTATTTAACCAAACATTCTTATACCTGTCAGATTTCCCCTGGGGTTGAGACCTGTCTGTGTGTTGTTCACTTTTTGCTTGAAGACTCGGGTGTTCAAGATGTTGAAAGTTTACAAACTCACCTATGTTTACATCATTTCTTTAAAGGCCCACTTTTAAGAAAAGCCATCATGCATTTGACCATAATAGTTGCTGTGGTGAACTTTATGACCAGAACCCCGGAAAGCAATATTAGTTCAATTAAGATATAAATTGATTAATTCTGTCAAACGTTACATTGTTCTGACTAACTCACAAACAAGCTCCTCCTAGTTATGAAAAGCACTGAAGCCCTTTATGTTCTCAATTCCTTTCTTCTGGCTAAGGTTAGGTATGTGCTCTCCGATTTCTTTATACCTTTTAATATTTTATGGCTCTCTATCATTCCTTTGGTATAGTAATAATTTACAAGTTAAAAAGATTATGTAGCTCAGGACAAAATTATGGTAATACAAATTTATTTATTTGAAATACTGCAGGCCTTTTTCACGCCCTGGCAAGTTACACTATATTTGACGCAATCCATAGGTACATTACCATGGAGAACATAGTATGTTCTTATGGAATTATCTAAAATTTCAATCAAGCAATGACACAGAAATTTAACACAGCTTCATCTCTTTTGACTAGGGTACTGTACACAACCACATACTTTCATGAGATTACTTTGAACAAATAAAGATACAGTAGAAAAGTTAATAATTTTTGTGGATATCCTACATGTAAAATCAATGATAGTGAGGATTATGAAATTTCCTGTAAGTGCTTAGTCAAGCTATGCACGAACGATTGCGTTTCACAAATGGTGATTAATTCCTCCAGCAATCAGTTCCTATCTTCAATGCTATGAACGAAGAATGAATACTTGAATGTGTCATTATTGCTGATGTATGGTCTGATCATCTTCGTGTTATTAGTTCGATTTTAGTGTCCGTGCTTTCTTAAATAATAATCGGCGCACATTTTAAGGTGACATTGGTAAAGTTGATGTTTGAAATTTAAGCGCTCAATTATCCGTACAACTCCAAGACTGCAATTTTTATTAATTAAGCAAACTGGACATGCTCTCTATGTGCCTACATTTGAAAAAAAAAATCGTAAGCCTAGTTCTGAATTTTATCTAAACCATACAAACGAGGTCAGTAAATATGAGAGGATAGTATTTACTAACGAGGATATCAAATGACGGTATAGTGTTTACAAACGAGGACATTAAATATGACAGAATAGTTTTTACTAGATCTGAAACCCTGCAGACAACCCAAAATAGCAAAGTACTAAGGGTTTCCTGAAAATAACCTCTCATGAAATTATTGGTTGAACTAAATGCCAATCAATGTTACATGAGGGTTCCTCTGTAATTAATGGCTATTTTTTTCCCTTGGGGACTACAATATATGCCACTTCTTTCACAACACTTTTTCATAACGGGTATTAACAGCTTTAACACATTTTTAAAAAGAATAGTCCCCACCATTGGCTATGGATTTTTGCCAACCGGGAACGAGTGCCTCCATTCTTTACCGATAAGACTAAACCGAGAGAGGTGACCCACTGCTTCACAGCTTGCATGATGTCATTTTTGCTAGGAAAATATTTGTCACATATACTATATTTCATTGACCGGAAGTGAGAGGAATTAGAAGCTGAAAAATATGTATTGTATGATGGTTGTGGTAGACAGGACAGCAAAGCCTAAAGTCTCTTAATGCTGCTTTTTGCAAGTAACAACAACTAAATGAATGACGAAGCACATTCCGTAAGTACAAAATGATGTCATTCAGCTCACTGTTTTGCTGTGTGCCGCCATTCGCTTCCTAAACTCTGCACCGTGACGCAGTCGGCGTTTCAAAAAATGTTGCTACTTGTATGAACCTCTTATCAAGAAATATTAGTTCAACCAAGATTGCCAGTGTGTTGCAGCGTACCCAAACTGCTATAGGGACTGGAGTTATTGTGTTGCAAGAGAAAGGTTTCTGGCATCTCCGACCCAGCTATAGAAATTTAGCTTAGTCATGGCTGTGGTGTAGCATTCACTGGTCGTAATCTGCCAGTTTGTACTTACTATCATTAAAAAGCGCAACAAGACGACGGACACAGAAGGAGACACAGACACAGCGCTGTGTCTGTGTCTCCTTCTGTGTCCGTCATCTTGTTGTGCTTATTAATCATTATGAATCACGATTTTGCCCAACTTTCTACCCTCGTTGTAGTTATGAGCTGGTCTAAACATTCTTTATTTTGCGGTGTGACAGCTGTGCATTGCCACCCTGAACATGGCTTGTCTTTCATGTCACTGTCGCCAGTCATAAACACGTGGCCCATTGCCTCACTGCCCTTACCATGATAGAAGATTAGATCGACACACTCATCTGCTAGGACAGCGTGATTATCTCGAACCGATTGAGATCCAGCGCATCCAAACAGTCGTGAAGCTCCCCGTCGTCGGTGTCGTCGAGTGTGGTGCTGGTGCCGTAGCCTTTGAAGGATTGGCGTATCACTACAGGTGACAATGTCTACTGAATATTGGCGGAAAGGTTGAAAATTTGCTGCTATACTACCAACATGTGCGGTGGTGTCTTGGGCCACTTTTATAAAATATAATGCATTACTTTCAGAGTGACACTTATAGAAGGCGACATAGTGTCATAACACAGACTTGTTCTGATTTGTCCTGCATACATATGCTTCACTCTAATTCCCTTTACTTTCCTTTTTTCTGCTTCCTTTCAATTTTTTGGTTACTCTGTTAGCGATGGACTTTAGAGCTGTTGTACCACTTGTATTTTCTTTCAGGAATCGCAGAATAACAATGGCTACATCCCATATGTGGACTACGCCAGGGACTACAACCCACCAGCGCCGTCGTTGCAACTCAATGCGAGCAGGGACAGTGGCCTGTATGGGAGCTCTCCACAGTCGCTCAATGACCTGGGACAGGGTATTGACCCCAGGTTCCGGGCAGGCTATGCCAACCCCTACCTCCGGACGTCCCAGTCCACCCTCCCACCACCTCAAGGGGTCTACGTGAGCCCCAGGGCTGCAGTAGCTGCTGTACCAGCCGTCAACTCTGTGTTGCCGGGAGCATCTTCGGCCACACTGCCCCAGAACAGGTAAGGGAAATCCTGTCTGAATGGCGTCTTATTTGGTATCATCCTAATTTCTATTTTATAATTGTATAATCAATTGATATAGTGGACAGGTCAATCCAGGCAGATAGCTTGCACCCAGTAATTGAACATGTGAAAGTGCACGTGTGGTCTAAGTAAGCTAAAATGACGAGCAATGACCAGAAGTTATTCGCAGCACTGCTGCAATGCGAAAAGTTTAACCAGCAGCAAGATAGTAAATGTACGACTCTGTGGTAGTGTGTTATGTGACTCAAACAGATCATGCTTAAAATTGTGGGCCGTTGTTTTGTACATGCTGCTGGTGGTTGCTTTTCTGGTAATTACTTTTGCCTGTTCTGATGTCCCAAAAATAATCTAAATGGTGCAGGGACAACTTGCCCAGATACTGAAAGCTGTGACACTCATGGGTAGCTGGTAGCGAGGAATAACTAGAGTCATATCGAAGTGCTCCTGAAATGTTGAAATGGAGGAGGCTCAACCAGATAGCAGTGGCCAAAGTACCTTCTGCATGTGCCACCTAGCATGTAGCATATGCTATAACTTCATAGTCAAGGCAGCATCGCTGATACCTTTTGGTCATTGCTTGGTCATTACAGCTTACATTTTCCATGACCATACATATATAAGAAAATACTTGGGATTGGGAAAAACTTACAATGAGGCATATCGAAAGAGGTTTCCTGAGGATGAGGTCATTTTATGATTATTAAGTTCAATAGAAACAAGTAGAATTTGGCACAACTGGGCGATGCAGATTTCAAATGATTGCAATTAAAATATTTTCATTATGAACCACTTGCTGAAATGAAAAGGATGCATCAGGCCACCTCGTTTAGTACATCCCGTGGTGCACCGTGTAATTGCAGTATGTGCAGATGGTTCCATCAGGTCTACTTTATTCCATGATAAACTGCTCTTTACAAGAAGTATTCATGTCTCCTGTAATGTCCTAATACCCTTGGAGCAGGAATTGAGGATATGGGTTTTTCAGTCAAAAGTGACAGCTGTCATTGAGTGTCACCAAAAATATGTAACATTATATCTTTGCCACCATTTCTACAACACTATACAAATTAACCTCTCTATTTGAAGGTTCAATTGTTGCAGTGCATCCCACTGAATATGTATTTTGAATGTTTTGCATCTGTTTTAATTTGGACATGTTATTCATCTTGTGTGCACAATCACTGAGGTGCTACATGTAACAGCAACCATGGTTTCAAACTGTGCTCATTTGTGGCATGTATGACTACAATGTTTACTGCAATATGCTAGAAAGAACACAGATTGTCTGCCCATGTCCACTTCACTTCGTTTTGGGTTCTTCTAGTTCTGGCTTGTCATTTCAACTTCTTGCTGGCTTTCTACTCGTTCGTGAGGCATTTGCTTTCCGGATGATTTTCATGGTAGCATGAGAAGCAGTCGTCTCAGAAACCTGCATAACAACTTGGTACCAAGCTCTGACAGCACTTACAGTGATAAATTCATTTGCCAAACTTCAGTAATAATTTGTGTTAAATGCTGAAGCTAGAGGCAGGAGATAATACCTAAATAGGTTTAATGTGGCTTGCGCCTGGTGTTCCTCTAACCCTCACACCTGATGCACAAGCACTCGGTGCACAAGCACCGCCGGTGGCCATGAGCTGATGGCGCTGGTCGATCACTCACTTAATAACACCCCCTCCAACTTATTGTGGTCTCCATAGCACCTACATTGTCATTGCATTCAAGTACTCCTTCGGATACCCATAGCCGGTTCAGTATCTACCCTTTAAAGAAACTGACATGTAGCACCTCACTTGTGCCACATGAAAAACCATTTTGCAGTCTTTTATTTAATACATAGTCTGGGCACAACCAGTCACAATGCAGAGGAAACAAAATTTGTTTCTCAGGTAGCTTTTACATTTTAAATACCCTCCATGGATAAATTTTGGCATTCTAATAATTATAGAAGGTTTTTGTCATGCTCTCTGCTTGTTTTCCAGTTCATTCCTGAGCCAATGTGAAAAAATACAAAAACACATAGAATGAAATGGAATTCACTCCTGTGAATGATTGTAAATTTGGAGTAGCATGAGGGCATGAAGTTACTTGTGTGTCAATAGTGTGCCATTATTGACTTCGACCATGCTTTGTTGAAATTTTTTGTTACAATTAGTCATGTTCAGGTTTACCATCCAGAAAGATCAAAACCAGATTAATGACACTTTTTATGCCTGTCCAATTGAGATTTGGGGATGTTAGAAGGACCAAAGCTCCTGTCTCCTATTTTGCAAGAGGGTGATTCTTTAGATTTTATGCATATTTCAGGTTCAGCTGAATATAAGAGTTACTTTTTGCTCCTATGAGGTCCAATCAAAGTGTTTCAGGACTAGTTCCATATACAACAAGGCGCTTGCCTTATATATGTTAAACCACAACCTCTCTTAATTTCTACTTTTGGAAAGTTTTGAGTTCCCGACAAATTTCAGCATGGGGCACCTAGAGTTCTAGGGGCAAAAGCCTTGACAAGCACTTTGCAGCAATGTGGTGCATGTTGCTAACGAATGTGAGAATGAGATGCATTATCTTGTATGACACATTGGCAATGCAAACAATGTCCTGAATATTTCTGCAATAATGCTCAAGTACACATTTTCTAATTCTCTAAAATTTTTCAAGCTTTCCGCTTGTAAAAGTTTGCCTCAGCCTGTCTTCTTCTAGTGACGTTTTGGCATTCTTAAGTGTGAATGCCACTCCAGACGACTCATTGCTTCTTTGCCTTAAGCCTGCCAGAAAGTTTCAACAGTCTCTGTTCCAGATTTTTGAGTTTGATACTACACAAAATTCGGTATTCACTGTTTTTTCTGTTCCTCGTTTGCACTTCATACTGAAAACATCAGAGTGGTTGCACACATGATTTCAAAACTTTGTGTAGAACGCCTACCAATATATACAGAAAGACAGTGCATGTTGCAATAACATATGAATTTCACTGCCTCCTCAGCTGCACATGCATTACCATGCTGCCATCTCATTTTATGAGAATCAAACTATGCTCAAAACGTCTGATTGCACCTCATACCTAACAAACTTTAGACAGCCTTACGTTCTTTAAACTACTCTTTTCGCCAGCACAGAATACAGTTGCTTGAAGCAGACATGAAACTAAATATTACTGAAACCATCACCTTGGACGTTATTATTATGGCTCTTTTCTTATCAATTATCTGAATAGACTGGTTTGGGTTTTTGTGATTGGCCAAAACTGCTTCCAGCATGGGATCTGTTGAAGAAGTAACTGTAACTCTTGTTCAAAATGACATATCATTTTATAAAAAAAGTGCAAGCAATTCTTCAACTACGATCATTTTTTGTGTAAGAAGTTTGCAGTTTAAAATTATATTTCAACATATTTTGCATGTAAAAGGTAGCAGTCAACAGTATAATCTACCAGCGCTCCGAAACCATCCGAAAACTTCTGAAACCATTTTACACAACTGTACTATTATGACTGTACTTTGATAATGCTGAATACAACCTGTAAAATCTAGTAAAAGAGAGGTTCAGTTTCTGCTGCTGGAACTTAGTATAGCAAGGACGTTACACTGTATGATACTTTATATGCCGAGTTTTGTCTTCCCTCTTGCAAGCAAATTTAACACATCTCTGTCTTCCCCTCATGCAGGTATATCACATCACAGCAAAGTCACCTCAAGCCAGGAACGCTAGCCACCCATGTATGATGGCGGGAGACGCCAATGTAAATAGGACTTTGGAAGGCTGTTCCAACAAATGGAAGCAGTGAAGTCTCCCATCCAGACAAGCTGCACACAGGGTGACAAAGCATATTTGCCGTCGAAGTCGGCAATGAACAGTGGTGCAAGCCCCGATGGTGTTGTAGGCTGTGACTGTGGTCGTCTTGCCTTCGGGCGGCGTTTTAAGTCAGGAACCAAAGAGTTTTTTCGGTTGATAGTATGTAACTATATGTGTGTATGTTTGTGTATGCATGTGTAAGTGTGTGAATTTTTTGCTTAATGTAGGAGGGTGAGACATGTTATTTATTGATGAGAGCTACATAATTTCTTGTTTGTAACTGACATTTCCTTGAGTTGCTCTTTCTACTGATGTATGGAATAATTGGATCATGCTTTACAGAAAAGTATCCCTCAACCCTCAATTCATTTTGTGCATTGTAATTTATCAGTTAAATTTTCTTGTTCTACTGACCCGTATTCTTTTAGATCTTTAAACGTAAATGTTTAAGACATAGACCTTTTGCTTGCATTTTTCCCACTTGAAGTCACTAGAGGCCATGGTTTTTTAGCATAAAAGAGAATTAACATGTTCATCCAGTAGTGTTGCTCACTCAACACGCAATAAGATACATTGCACACAAGTGATTTGTGCCATATAGGAGGGGAATCCTAGTGCAATACATGTTGAAAGCCAGCTATAGTGCAATGTGTCAGCTGGTATCTCCAAATTTATGATGTAGTGTTTTTCTTTTAGTTGTCACCCAGCACCATTGCACACATACGCTTACATGGTCGTTTAAAATTCTACAAGCAGTTTTAAGGTGTATAGCAATAAATGGAAACATCCTCCAGTGCAGTGCTGAACTCAAAATATGTATTCTGTAAATTGTTCCTGGACTTGAAATATTTTGCCTTATTTGGTAACTGTAACCATGCCTGCTGATGTGAACATCTGAATTCACTAAATTGATAAATATGCTGGCCTCTGCTGCAGGAAATCAGCTAAAGGCAAGTTTGTGTCAATAATGTAAATGCTCAGTTTCTTCAAATACAACAAGTGGCCTTCTAGACAAGATGCGGGCATATTGTGCCAATCGCAACCGCTTGTCATTTTACAGTGTATAAAGTATCAATGATGAGCACCAGAGGCAACTGATAAATTGTGTTCTGCAGTTTTGTGTGTGTATGTATGCTCGTGTGTCTGCCTATTCATTGCGAGGTCTTGTCTTCTATGCAAGCATTGTCCCCCTTGAAACACTTCAACTTCAGCTTGCAGACTTTGAATTCTACTTGCATAGCATTGTGATTCATCATGCTTTGGAGGAAGTCGACGTATGTGCAACTTGTTTTCGGCAACAACACGGATCAACTAGTGTCTGTGCTCAGTGATTGTGAACAGTGCTTCTGGGGAAGATCACCTTTGGTGCTAAGCAGCCCCACTCAGCAACCTCGGCCATCAAATTTCATTTTCACTTCGTTTGTGCTGTTGTGTTTGTGCTGATGTGCATGTTGCTGTGTGCTTACTTTTTATATTTTTGCCGCTTGGACAGACATTTTAGCAGTGGCTACTTCACTGTACATAAAGCACTTTCCAGCGTAAAGACAAATCGTGCTATATATAAACTTTGTGTCATATAAATTTTCTATTCTTGTTTTAGTTTCGCATCTGTACAGGATCAGCAGAGAAGAATTGCTCACTCTATGAAACCAAACATTGTGTGTATTGATAAAATATGCTGGTTTAAATAGACTGGATTACTTGTTTATTCTCGAGAAGAGGAGCACCACTTCCATCTGCTTCTTTATCCGAGTCGCTTGCCAATTCATGAGATCCCATAATACTCCAGCTATACCATCTCGCTGAATTGGAGAAAAAAAAACACATAAAATGTGAGTTTGAGAAAGAACTGTAAAATTACAGAAACATGGACGTACACAGACAAAATTTTGTTCCTGTACGTCTTCACTTGACCTTCATCTTGTTTGCACATTTGCTAGTTTTTAAAAGAGTTTGAAAGATATTCTCGGAACACCTGTTTTTTTTTTTAAACTGTAATTCAAAATCTCAGATACCTATGACCTGAATATCAAGAAAGGTAGATGATATATTATATAGAAAGTATGGATACATCAGTATTGAATACAGAGCTCATCCTTAAGTAAGAAATAATTTCTTTAATTTTCTCCCAGGACCGTGCTTCCGATGATTACTTTTGAAGCAGGCACACAAACCCGAAAAAATTTAAAATTAACCAGAAATTTATGTTGCACTTAAACTCTATAGTATCTTAATTATCTAAATGCTTTTGTCCAGTGCTATTCACACCGGGAGACACTTAACAAAGTGCGCCGTGCATCTGTGGTGCTGTAAAAAAATACCAGGAATGGCGTGTACAAAAAATACTAACGCAGACAAGGCAGGCGACCTTCTAGGCAGCGCTTCATATGCAAGCAAGCAGGAGAGGGGTGCCAAGCAACTGCACAACCCTCCGTCTCTCTTTCTCTTACACTCTCTAGTATGTCATGGTACATGCTATGGAAATAAAGAAAGCATCCAGGACATTCCTAATATTCAACTTGGACCTCGCCGTAAACTTCTGAGATTTTCCTAGAAGGTCCCTTTGTGGTTATATGGAACTCTGGTACACACTCATTGCTTAGGATGTACTCGAAAACCGTAGGTTCTAAAAGCACTTGACCATCTTTCAAAATATCAGTCATGGTGAGAAAATGTGCCTTCTATTCGTGTCATTATACACCTTGCTTTGATGTCATTGCGCGCTATGAGCACCACTGCACGTCATGCCCTAAAGTACACTATCTGGTAATGTGGAACTTCTTTACTTATGCAGCAAAAATAACTAGCGACCTCACTTCATGCCATTGTCAAAGTTTTAATCACTTCTTGGTTAAAACAAGACTCACAGGCTTCTTGGCCTGTGAGTCCTATAATAATCGTTAACAATTCACTTAATTTTTGGAATTCCATTTCTTAGAAATGAAAAAAATATATATAATGGGTAACCCTAGTTTATTTACAAACACATTTTATGAAGACGTCTCCGTGGAGTTTTATTATGAGATGTAAATCCACACTTAGACACACTAGATGCTCATTTCATTTAGAGCTACTGAGTTTTTTTAACTACGAATTTCTTGACCAACTGGACGAATAGCTAGCACACCACTGGTGAGCTCACTCTCTGTGAAGATTATAGTTTTCATAAAAGATGCATTTTGGGATTTGGATGTACATTACAGTGAGAGCGAAAGTTGAAATGGCTACAAAGGTCCAGCCTATTAGAGCAAGTGGTTTTCATTAAAGAAAGCTTTTGAATGTGTGATAGCCACATTCTATAAATTCCACTGGACTTTATCGAAAATACTTGTTTTCTTGCTCTTTGTAGAAACTACTCTCTTGGTTCACACTAGTTGTAAAATCGTTAATTATTGATTAACTCCTGCCTCCCTGTGCCCATTGGGTCACAAACCAGGCAAAGCAGACATTTACACCTTTATAGTATTGGTTTTGAGCCGAATCTTGCGTGAAAATAATTTAGGGGCAAGAGCTTACATTTGCAGGCAGTTATAAAGTGCAGGCGGAAACCAACTAGTATTAGTTTTTGTTTCTTCAAATTATAGTTGGTGACAGCTATATATGAAATTATGAAGACATGTCAGATTAATATTTTGTGAAAAAATAGTATTGGAAAAAATATAATAGGAAAATGTACTATCGCGGACAATATGACCTGAAACAGCGCTCCGGCCTGTGCACGGTACTACCTGCGCCGCCTGTCGCATCGCTCCCTAAACACGGCGCAATCTGAGGCCGAGATAAATTATCACTTGCGCTCAATGCGCGGCTGCCCTCTTCCGGTCGTCTGCTAGCCCAATATTCACGTTCTTAGCTAACATGCAATTCAGTGCATTTCAAGAAAGCGCCGAAGTGGAAAATGCGCTGTGACGCTCGTATCTCCTCGAGGAGCGCTGCCTGACAAAGCGGCCTTGGCGCCCCAAAAGAGGCCGATCTGAATATCATCGAAAACATTTGGAGGCGCATCAAGGTAGCAATGTCACGGCGTCCCCTCCACCGCGCCACTGCCCACAAATCGTGGAAAGCAATCGGAGGTGAATAGGAGTGGCTTCGGTGCTGAGCCAGACTTCGTGGCCGCGCTCTCTGATTTCTTACCAGACAGGATGAGAACCCTGGTCGCGGGTCAGGGGAGAATGACGCTGTATTAAGTTATTTTGCAAGCTTTACTGCGCCTCAGGACCCCCTGAACTGGACTTCTGCCGATTGGAACAAAGCTTGATGCTACGGTTGAGACACTCTCTGAAGCCGTTAACCACGCATACTTTTTGAGGGGTGCCTCCTTCATCCCGATCTTCTTGTATTGTGCAGTTGAACTTCCACGCCGACTATTAATCTTTTGTGTCTGACAATGTTCTCTGCAAATATTCTTTCGATTAAGTTTCAATCTTCTCTTGACAAATATATGACCGTTTGTCCCACCTTATTAAGACTAGGAATCTATAAACACAAAACTGGTGTCTTGTCAGCAACTTGTTTTGCTTGAAACAAACACGTGGGCCCAGTAATAAAAAGATATTATTTTTTAACCTTTTCATACTGATCAAGGTTACAAAACCTTCTTAGTAACATGTATGCTTACCGTTTTTTTTTTAACATTTGTGATCAATGGAAAAAAAAAAGTAATTACCCAGTTGGAGCCTGACTAAATCCGGCATACATATTTCGGCCTATATTTTACGATGTCCTACTTTGTGCATGCACCTATAATCAAAGAAAAACAACCTGCAGCGTCTTTTGATATGACTTTCAAAAACGATGATCGCAGTTGAAATTTATGACACTTCAATATTTTTTCTTCGCCAGTCAGCGTTTTTTTCTACGGGATTCTGCGCGATAGAGTAAAGTAAATTAATAACAAAAGGGGGACGACAAGTGTAATCTTTTGTTCCCCCTGCCGCCCTACCACACATGCCCGCTGTCGCACCCGCCGTCTCAGACAGCCGTCTCAGACAGCTGGAAGAGCGTAGTGGCGCAGCGAGCGCAAGTGAGAATTTATCTCGTACTCAGGGTGCGCCATGTTTGCGGAGCAAGGCGACAGGCGGCGCAGGTAGTACCGTGCGCCGGCCGGAGCGCTGTTTCAGCTCAGAATGTCCGCGATAGTACAGTCAGCACGGAATGAAACCCGAACGCCGGAACGCGTAGCCATCGATACAGGCTGCTCCATCTGGATGGCCCCTGAGAGCTAATGAAAATTCACCTGGGTGCGAGGGCGCGGGTCCTACTAAGATGTCCTCAACCCTCGCGCGGGGCGTCTGGGACTTCCGCGTTTCGCCGGTGGCGCGCTGTAAGCGCCGTCACTCGGGGTGCTTTTCTGTTTCCGCACTGTCGCCCGGTCGACACCGGGCGGCCGCTTAATCTGGCTATAACTCTTTGCGATAGGCCCTGCTCAGACAGGGTGATGAATTTATTTCGCTCCGGAATTGATACGCCTGGCATAACGGTGGTTACCAAAGAGAGCTTCAGCAAGCAATTCCTCGCCTTGTAAGATTCGACTGATAAACTCGCACAAAAACATGGACATAAAAACCGAGGATCCGCGTCGGTCCGTTGTAGCATTTTTTTTTTGTTTTTCATAAAGAGTATGGTCATGCGAATAAACAAATTTTATTTCGCGTTTATGACGTTTTACTATTTCTCAGAAACCGCGCGTGGCACGTTGTTCACCGGAGCCCCAGCGTGGTTCCGGTGACACGTCATCAAGCACTACGGGTCTTCTCTGCACGAAATGTTTCAACTTTCATTTCGCCCTTGCGATGCACAAAGCGATAATGAATGACAGCGCTGAAGAGATATCGCTGGGAATCTGATACACAAAGCGAGTGACAGTGCTTTTTTGTATCGGATGTGACGGCGCTTACAGCGCTCCAGCAGCGAAACGCGGAACTCCCAGGCGCGCCGCGCAAGGGTCGAGCTCATCTTAGTAGGACCCGCACCCTTGCACTATGGCGCATTTTCTTAAGTTCTCAGGGGCCCTCCAGGTGGAGCAGCCTGTATCAACGGCCACGCGTTCCGGTGTTCGGGTTTCATTTCGTGCCGACTGTACATTTGATTAGTTGTACATTTTCCTATTACATAATGTGGAAAGTTGTTTTGTAATGCAAAATAGAGTTATTTGGCCATGAAAGGTTCCCCGAAATCGTTGATGGTGAATAAATAAGTAGCATCTGAACACATAAAAAAATTAGTTTATTTGCAGGAGATTTAACATCTCATTTGATGTACATTCTAGGTACCACTCACATAATCAGCGGTAGAAAAGAAAATCAAGAGAAGCTACATATCTTTCAATATTTCACACTATTCACAATGTTTATACTTAAAACATGATTTACATAGATTCTGCTTTGCCGGCCTCCACTGCAGACAAAGTTACCACTTAGTATCTCTTGGAAATTGTACAATTCAATCATTCTTATTCATTGTGAGTGTAATGTAAAGAGGCACTTGTGAGTTGTATCACATCATGAAAATACAGCTCGAGGATTCAAAGCAATGCTACTGTGGTGTAGTATAAGCTAACACATGGTACTACTAGGATAACACAAACAAACGTTTGAAAACGGTATGAGCAATATGATGACTTTAGAATGCAATAGATTGCAATGTACACCATGAAATGACAATGTTTCATGTACACACTGACTAGAACACCTGGATGCTCATCGTAAATTTATATGATTAACACATTAGACTATCACACAGTGGAACCTTGTGTGAGATATCACGAAAAATATAAAACAAATAAATGACTGCATTCTATTTCAACACATTTTTTGTAAAAACAATTAAAATGACAGTTAAGGCTGGAACATTTATTTCAGGAGTTATTCATCTGGACCAACTTTCATTAGACTAACAATTTGGAGCTTTATTTAATGGTATACCATTTTCTATCACTTTTTCTTATTAAAATTGACCTATGCCACAAAGAAAATATATTTTTGCGAAAAAGCTTTGACTAGATAACATCAGATGTTGCAAAAAATACTAATGACAGTTTTAAACAAAATGTATCTCTAGTATAAAGCAGCTTGACGAATTACGTACCCCGGTTAGATTCTTAGGGTGTCACATTCAATCTGAAGGCTTATTTTGTGCATGTATTTTTTTTAATATCTCAAGCCTTGAAATTTTTGCAGCAATGGCCAGAAGAACGAAAAATTTTGAAGTTACTGTTTTCAAAGATTTCAATTGCGACAATCTATCCAGATGTGAAGTTGCATGTTTTCCAACCTTAAAACGGTAAAGCAAATTGTTCGTCTCCACCCAGTATCTATGCAAGTTACTTGTAAAGAGGTATCTAAGGATGTGCACAGTATAGCTGAATTCTAAGTGTTCGCTTTAACATGCAAAAATATATGACATCACTTAGCAGTTGCAACAAAACGTGCTTCTGGCAGAGATTAGAACCTGTTGGCTACATCATACGAATAATAGATATCGAATGTGTCTTTAATGTTTCTCGCTGGTTATATTCCGCGGTTGCATCTTCCTATGCCTTCAAAAATGACATTTGGTGGATATTGAAAATTTACGTAACAATCTGATATGTCCTATCACTGCTTATGTTAGCACTCGAAGCGCAAATTGCCTTACGCGGCTCTTGATGTCAATTAAATCACGCAGTTGTCTGAAATATAAAAAAAAAAATATTGTGAGCGCAAAGCTCGAGTTCAACAATGAACAGGTTACGTTCGCGGCTGCAAATTATAACATCTAATAACACACAAAACGAAACTCTAACTAAAGGTTCGTTCGTCAGGCGTACCCATGAGTTCTGCAGCAAGTCCAATAACGTAGGTAAGCTACCATGCTCTTTCTGGGAAATTTTTGCCTCACATCGTGGCTTCTACTGGTTCTCAAGAAAGATCAAATGAAATTGTACGACATTATTGGCTAATAAAGTCAGCAAAACAATATAAGTGTTGACGTCCTAGACAGGAAGGACTCGGGGTTAGAAAATAATTACAATGTACATTCATGCGTGCTCTCATCCTTTTCTGCCAAGGAAGCAGGGTGTCTGTACAGTAGAAAGGAATTATTGACTAGTTATATGTATCTTTCAGTTCATTTGGACATTATCAACGTTTCATTGAAGCACAAAGCTCCGTGCTCCAAACCACACACAGGCACAAGTGTATTCCAAAAAGACATGCCTGCTGTTTGAGGAGCTGTTATATTTTCTTCCTACTACACCTATTAGCGAGAGGGAAATTCCCTTCATCCAAGATTTCAGCAATGGTTTAGGACTGAAATCTACACGCATGTATTACAGTCCGGTTACTGAACCCATGAGTTTATCGTGGACATGTTTGCCACGGAATCTAAATTGTAAATGTGCTTGTCTGCACAGTTATGTGATAGTTTTTGACTCAGTAATTACTGTTAGTGGTGACATCTTTCCATTTCCATTGAAAGATTGACCTCATTAAGCGGGAAAAAAGTTGTGTATCTTTAATAGCTTTACCCTCGCAGTGTAAGTATTATGTAGCATGTTAGAAAGTGTCATAAATATTCTTCAGATTTTGTTGGCACAGCATAGACCCGCCTTGGGGCTCTATTAGAGATCTTGAGGTAATACTCTATTAAAAATTTAGATGCAGACGTGGACAGGCTGAAACACAGAGATCACGTGGACAGTTAGACTGTCCACGTGATTACGTTAAAAACACGTGGACAGAGATCAGAAACGTATTTGCGGTTTACTACACCTGACTTGCTACATTTGGTCAAGACGACAGAGTTGTGCTGCAAAACTTAATTTCATTAAAAAAAATCATTAAAATGGCCTTCGATGTCAAAATCGATTACTCGGGCTGTCCGAGAAAAGTTTTCCCTGAAAAATTATCATTTAACCCTTACAGCATTCTCAAACAGCAGCTGTGTTTCAGGAGTAAACTTGGCCGAAACTCCACCTCAGAGCTCGGCGCATATAACTCTCCACAACTCGACGCCCTAAATTGTTTCTTTCCAAGTTCTTGCTACGGCATGCCTGTGGTCCTGGCTGGCACTAGAATTCACTCTTGGCTTGTGTGGCGGCCACCGAGAGGAGGCTGCGAATGTCTTTGTTGTGTGCAGCACCCGAGTCACCAAAATTGGCGGCACTGTTGTAGTTGAGCATCTCACTGCAGCCTGACGTAGGTCCTGCTGGCCCATCCTGTTGCTCACTGAAATTAAAAAAAAAACATACTGCTCTAACATTTTCGTTTAAAATTCTCAAACAGCCTACACTACATTGCATAACCTTTAATAAAATACAGTGGAAGTATTTTAAGTTCAGACTCAGGAAATGAGATACTATACAGAACTGCACACCAAGCGTGTAAATAAAGTTGTTTTTTACGAGTTAACTACCTTCACAGGCTTTTAAATATCGAGCAATAATAATCTAAACAAATGGCAATTAATAACATAGGCCACGTTGCTCTTATGAGCAAAGAAAAAATTGAGTCTCGGGTAATTTGGAGAAAGTTGCCACTGTGCTACTTTTCCGGTATAAAATAAAAACATGTAGCAGCATAAAGGCGCTATTTCAAATATCAATTTTTTTAGCACCAATGTAACGTTTTCTCTATTACCGTGCTTAATCATGCATAATGTATTTTGTTAACTTCACACCGGGGAATGGGACAATTTCTGATGTGTCGTTGAAAATATGAATAATTGATTTAGGAATATCGAAGGGAACTGAGGAACAAAAACATACACCATTAAGGAGATAAATCACTTTACATTTCGACATTATATATTATCTGTCAGCTGTCTACTGTTATCATACTATATATCGAGAACTTTGCAGTGTTGTTATTAAGAGCATTTTTTTAGGCTCTCTCGTCGACACAGGACGTTCTATTCACGCTAGTTTCTTGAACAAAGGCATCGCGCTGTTATTAGTGCAACGAGCCTCATTAAGTTTCATACTACGACTGTCCAAGAGGGAACATGAACCTAGCTTTCGGAGCGGCGACGTAATGCTACACAAAACGAGCCTCCTGCTTCCTTACCGTACTATTGGGGGAAAATGAAATGCAAAAGCAGAGAAGCGCGTGGCTTGCGGCAGAGCCGTGTATATAGAGAGTTTGAACAATGGGAGGCGCGGGCAGAGCCAGGACGTGCGCCAGACTCGGGAGGAGGGCTTGGCATGCTCTCTTGACCATCCAGAAGCCGAAAAGAGTCCCCTAGCGGTGGTAGCGAGAAATAGTTATGATCAAAGGTTTATGTTCGTATATGGTTTTAACAAGCGCGTAAGAGTGAAGTGTAGTAACTGTTTGTGGTTAAAATAGAGTGTACGTGATGTTTAGATCATGATCATGCAGAACGATGTAAGGAAAGAATGCGCCGCTGAACTCTGTTTTGCTCGGACAGAGTGTGACCGCTCGGACGGTAGATTCCCGGCCCTTGGCGCTTGGTGTAAGGATTATGTCGATCGTTCTGCTAGTCGCACTCTTCCACCACCATTTTGGATGAGCGTGATTGAAACATCACGTGCACCATATTTTCAGTAACCGAGAGTTACTCCGATGCACCTATCAGGTTTGTTTTTTTGCGGCCACCGCCAGGGTATTATTTCCGGCTTCTGGTTCGTCGCATTTGAATTTCTGAAGACGCCCTGGAACAAGCCCAGCCCGCTTTTGGCCAATTGCGCCTCCTTATTTGTCTCCTATACTTCCCAACGAATGGCCAAACTCTCTGCATATACGGCTCTGGCTTGCGGTACAGTCTGCGCCGCCTGTAAGTGAGCCTATGTGTGAGGATGCTTGGCCTGCTCCGATCTGTTTACGCCATTCACTCGGCGCCACCATACTTCGGCATTGCGCCTCTTACGCGTAGCGCGCTGAAAGCTATCACCGCTATCTTTGCTCGCTCGGCGCGTGCGGCGTTAGGACGCTCGCCGCTAATAGCAACTAAAGCTCGCGCTGGCTGAGCGTGCACTTTAGTTGTTACTAGCGGCGAGCTTCCTCGCGCGCACTAAGAGGCTCAATGCCGAAGCTTGGGGAGCGTCGAGCGAAGCGCGTAAACACATCGGAATAGGCCACGCACCCTCGCCCCTAGGCTCACTTCCAGGCGGCGCAGCCTGTACCGCGAGCTACGCCGTCCTCTGTTCGCATTTCATTTTCCCCCGATTTTACATTGTATACATATTGTGCACGAGTAAAGGTTAGCCTACATATAGATCAAATTACATATCAACGGGTAATTATTCGGACAGATTAACTTCTCTTTTTTGGCGTGTATGGTTGTTTCTATACGCTTTTTAGGGCCGCGGGAGCTTTGTAAAATGTACGGAGGCCTTTTTATACAACTATAGGCCCTGTTGTCCAAGCAGGATGAAATACGAAAGTGACACCCAATAATATCAGTGTAATATTGCCATACCTACAGAAACGTTAATTTCGCGCTCTAATATTGACGCTGAACTCGATTCATATCAATGTTTTTATTCATATTTATATTTTACTTTTTTTTCAGATATCTAACAATATGATTCTTGCACCTTACTTTACTTCCGGTTAGTTTCGAAATCGAAACCAACATTGTCGTCTGCTATCAATGCCGTGGCGCCTAGTTGGAGGCATTCGGCGTCTTATTGCGGCAGCAGTAGTGCCCTAGTCTCATAGAGCCGTCTTTGTATAGGTACATTTCAGAATATTTTCTTTTCCTAGTCAATCACATAGAGGTTCCTCACTTGACACGAAGTGCAGTCCGCAAATCTTTAGTTGGGGTACGAAGCCTTTTTATCGAGATCATAGAGTTAATATAAAAACCTTGAGCGATAGGCCGTTTCGGAATGGCAGGGCATAGAAACGGACGTCGGCGGTCCTAGTTGGCGGTCCCGATGAGCCCATATTGCTGGCGACGCCTTAATATGCACAAAGAAGCAGCAAAGCCATCACCTGAAAGGTCTGTACTTTGTTATTTTCTCTCTTACTTTTCGTATAAACAATGGAATGGCGCAATGACTAAATTAAATAAAGTTGAGAAGCGCTCGAGCAACTTCAACTTGTCGCGGCAAAACAAACACAACTAACTCTTCGTTTGCTTTCTTTTTATGCTCTTGTATCGCTTCCCTTCTCGTTCGTTCTCTCGGGACCGGAGACGTTAGCACCCAGGATTTGCCGCCTTCTGCTCCCGTCTTTAAGCGGGAAACACATGTACGACGAAACTGTCCGATCCGACGTCCGATCAGGCAATAAGACGGTCGGACGTGGCTTGTTTGGTCGTGTCGCCACGTCGGAGCGGCGTAGCGGCATGCGACCGACTGTCCGGAGGCGGTTGCGGTAGTCAGATCGCCGCGGCCAATGACGACGCAGGTAGCGGGAACGTCATGAGGACGTCACGTTTTGGGGAGTGGGCTATTCAGGAGCAACGATACAGTTGAGAGTCTCCCTCCCTTTCCTTGGCCTTTCCGGGGAGAGTGGGAGAGCCCGCGCATAGCTTTATTCAGCGCTCAAAATGGGAGAGGGAACGCGTGCGTTCCTGTACCTTCCACCGCGGAAGGGCGATCGTAGGAAGTCAGAAAACAGGCACATGTCACGGAACTGGGTGGAGCAGATCGGAATCGTCAAAGCGACGCTTCACAAGTTCGGTCTAAAGCATGTGTCTCGGATAATCGTTTGCGGCGAGACGGAGCAGCGATCGGACGTCGGATCGGATGTCGGATCGAACAGTTTCGTCGTACATGTGTTTCGCGCTTTACCCGCCTGGTCGAGGGTGTGCCGGCGTATCCGTCAAAGCCCTTCGTAGCGCAGGTGAACCTATTGCTCGAGCGTAGCCTTGTACTGGTTCCTATTGATTGCAGGAATTCTAGAAAAAAAACAAAACAATCCAGTTGGCCATAGCTTCGTTGTCGCCGACTTTTACGGCTGGAAAATAAAAATACGGCGAAATTGACCCCTTTAAACCTCGGGTGAGAGGAAAAGCTACAGGGAGAATACGGCCCCTAAGCACGCAAGACGTAGCGAACCAGTGACGAATGCCTCCAACACAGATTCCAGCGGATTTCGGTGATGCTTACACACCGGTAGTGGCGTTGCGTCATGGTTTTGTGCAAGAACCCTATTAGTTTAGTGTATGTACACTCATTGAATGAGTTAACTGCGGCACCCCTAGAGTGTCTCATTTTATTTCTCGGTACACTTTCTAAGAGTACCGAGAAAAAAGTTGTCCACATTTTGCAACTTTCCTAAGTTTTGTCTGAACCTATGAGACGAGAAAAGACCACACATACGGATTTTTTTTTTTTTTTTAATTATGCATCCCACATAACGCTTCCTTTTTTTTTGGACAGTTTTCCCCTACCAGAACATAAATTGTTCCAACTTACGTCGTGCCGAATTTCGGGAGGGTTCAGAATTATAAAATGTTTTTTTTTTTTTTTTTAACAAAATTATTAACTCACTTATGTAATCACCTAAGCTGTCACATTCCGTTAATATTCAGTATCTTTATTATTTAAGAAAAAGCTACGCGATCACATATTCATCCTAGCTACATTTACATCGCTTTTCTAGGCTACCAAACTTCATAAACCAAGCAAGTCGCATTCCAATATGGAAGGCATTATTAGTACATAAACGTATAGCTTGACGAATTATATCATCAGTGCAACCAAGGGTTGCGACTATTCTATTTGTAAAAAAAGACTTGTGCCTCTTTCTTGAGTACGTGAACGAATTATTTTAAACATTATTTTCACGGCCATCACTAAAAAAATGAGGTATTCCTCCGCTGTTTAATGCTGCAATAAACGTAACCGGAATAACCAGCTCTTCTTTACAACTGGGGAAAAATAAATATACTCTTCGCCTAGAAGGCATGTTATGACAAACAAATTAATTCACCCGTAGAGTTGGCAAAAAAACCTTTCTCACTTTTACTGGACTACCCTATCAAACACGCTTAAAATAGTCGTGAGCAGCCGATTATTCCTTTTGAACGTGTTGTTATGTTTCTTGAGAAAACAGGTTTTTTGCATAAGTTCTAGCTTTTCCAACATGCACTTTATATGGTATGTGATCACAACAGATAATTAAATCCTTATAAGCATTTTGTCTTCTTCCCGAGTATCTGACTTTTACTTCTCCATTAAATAAAACTGTACCTTTGCTTTGCGTAAATATTTACGTTTGGCGCAGTATGGTCACGTCGCTGTTGCGCCAGAAAGCCCCTAATCAATCAATAAATCAATCAGGTTTAGCAGGCAAATAGTTTAGGAAAATATGTTGATATTAAGACCAAATATCATGTTTGTTAACAACCTACCGACATGTTCATCACTAACAGCATCCGTTTAGTTGTAAACGTTTGGATCCTAGCCACGACTACTTAAAAAATTGAAAGACCTTTCAGCCAGAAATAACTAAGGCAACACATGGAAAAGGTCCATAATTGTTTAGTAGTACATCTAAATCCCATTTCAAAGGAGTCAGAACAAACTGCCTCATAACTGAAGTCACGTCTGCTCATTGTAGAAATCTCCGTTCCACCAAAAAATTGTCCATAAAGTGAGTTGTTTACTGCAGCGATAGAAAAATACATGTACAAACGACTGGTTTTAAATCCTATAACATTTTTTTCGGTAGCCCCCCTCCCCTCCTTTTTTCCTGCGTCGGAAGTTTAGCGGTTTCTAGCATTTTTTGGACAGTGTTGGGAAGGTCCTTATACTGGATTTTCATATTAGAGTTAAAAACATTGCTCAAAACAACACTTTGTGTCGCGCTATGCCAACGGCAGCAGTAAATGTTACCTCTGTTCATTTTAATGCTGCCTGCCTTTGGAAACAAATAGAGTTTTCCTTTGATCGGGCTTAAGGGGTTGGACCGACATTTTCAAAATTAGAAACGAAGAAAAAGTAATTAAAATACACCTTGATAAAACACAACGCTATGAGCAGCCGCCAATTTCGACATATTACTGAACGGCGCCATTAATGCTCGGAAATTCGTGTCAAAAAGCATTAATTAAGCGTGTCAAACAACCAGTTAACGCGTTATTCGCCGAATAATTTCCTACACAACCTTTTAGTAACAAAGTACACCCCTACTTGCCGGTCTCACGGTCGACTACATACAGCAGCATAGATGAAGAATACGTAAAGCACAGTGCATATAAAATTATTATTTCATGGTATATTTAATTATTACGTTTTCGAACATTTAAGTTGCTTAAATAGTAAGTAGCTGGCAACTTCACGTCATCAGAAATAGTTTACACATCTCATTTCCTTCTCCACTATTTGTACTTTGAGCCTTTAGAATGTGAATGTACGAGCAAAAATATGATTTTCACTAAAGTGCAAGGTTAATTCATCAATGAGGCTATTCCATCAATAGTATGTATGTTAGTTTCTCACAGTTTTACATTACTACCAGCCGAATTAATTACACAATTAAAATTCGACGACGGATTGGTTAAGAACTTGAATAGCTGCTCAGCACAATTATGAGCTTGTAAATTAGATAAACATTGCCTACTGAAGCAGTATGGAATGTTGCGAATCACACAACGCATCGCGCTACAAAGTAATCAAATTATTTAATTATCAAGTGTTTTCGCAGGCATTGTGACGTAAATATAAACAAACTTAAAATTATGTTGGCTCAGGACTTTCTCTAGGCTTGCGAGATTAGACCAAAGTCTAAAAGTTTATTGGTCCTGCATAAAACAGTCCAATGAAACAGTGCAACTGTATGTCTGTTTTTCCAGATGATGTGCTTACATGGTGGATTTAAGAACCTGTTATGTCTGAAATAGGCGCTCATAACGTATGGTTCGAACATCAGAGTTTGCGCACACAGTCGGCTCCATGAACACGCTATTTTTTTTTGTTTTTTCACTGTGGAATACCGGCTGTAAAACAGGGATATAAACAGTGCCACAGAGACGTTATAAAGACGAAGACGAAAGGCTTTATGTCCCACAAATTTAGACTTTGGGTTATGTGCAGCAGAGCCTCTCTTTGTGTGGCATTAATCTGTTGTTTCAGTGCCACTTCGATTTCCGTTATTTTGTTTCGTGCGACGAAATCGGAATAGCATGTAGTACATAGTCACTTTCCAAGTCAATCTTCACGTTTCAGGATTAAGCTACTTTCTTTCGTCCCAATTTAAAGAAAAGGTTAAATTAAAATAACTAGGACATGGCAAATACTTAAGTGTTTTTTTTGTGTACTTATTTTGGAGAATGCCTCCAATTGAATATCTTGGTATATGCGATTTTTAGCTTTTAGTCTTCTAAGCCTCGACAAGGGTTCTTACAAGTCTACTTTGAGACGATCATACAAACATGTTGCACTCTATGTTAGAAAAAGGAATAAAAGTTATACAAAATAGTGTTACTCCAGATAATAAAATGTGTTCACAGCTTTACTTCATTTCACATTAAGCAAAATCACAACCCACTCTACGACCCGATGTGGCCAAACTAAGAGCACCAAAAGTACAACCTCAAGCTAATCGTCACCTTGTGCGTCTGCTAAAATCGGCTTGACTATTGAAGAGCAGTGAGCGGCAATGAACTTCCTCTGTTGTTTTGTCTGGGTACGTCTCTCTACTTCTTCAGTCCTCTGACTGCGCACTTAAAGGGAAGCTACGGAGCTTCTTGGAAAAAATGAGTTAAAAGTGAATTCTAGTGTATATTTACCCCGTGAACCCGAATACCAAAACCATTTGCTGCGTAAGTATTGTTAAACGCGAGAAAAACGCGAAAGACAGTCGCTGTCCGTGACGTCATCAACGGCTCTTTTGGCTGCCCAAGGCTAGGGAGGCGGGCTTCAGTCCTATTTTGAAATTGCTCGTATGGCTCTCCGGCGCGTCGCATTGAAATACAATTTTGATATCTGTTAATCTAAAGGCCAAATGAACGCAATTCAAGCGTTTTTCTCAAATGTAGAAGTGCCCCACCTTCCCTTTAAGTTTGATGAATCAAGGTATACCGACCGGTAAGTGGAGATTATGCAAGCAATGCAAAGGTGCAAGCGAGCTGGGCTAGAATCCCAAGTATAGTCACCGGAGAAGGGGAACAAAGGGGACAAAAGGACAAACAGAAATTTCCAAAGACAGGAAAGTGACTTGGAAACGAGCGAAAGAATTCCCTGGTCCTGGTATTCTACCAAGAACCTCTTGATATTCAGTGGAGTGCTCTACCAACTGAGCTAACCAGGATTTAGATGGCAGTAGAGCGAGCGGGTTTTTTCAGCAGCCACCAGTGTAACACCAAGGGTGAACGGCCTGCATTTAAAGGTTATGATGATATGCAATCAATGAAAAGGTGCAAGCGAGCTAGACAAGGATGACAATAATACTTCCTGGAGAAGGGGAACAAAGGGGCAAAATATAGACATAGATCTCTAAGCACAGCTGTTACTTAGCTGCGTTTGCTTTCATCATATGATTAAAATGCAGGCCGTTCCAAACACAACTAAGTGGCTTAGATGTGTTAGCTTTCATCATAACCTTAAATTGTTGGACGTTCACCGTTGTTGGTCTTAGACTGGTGCCAGCTGATAAAACCGGTTTGCTCTACTGACGTCTAACTCCTTGCTAGCTGAGATGGTAGAGCGTTCCTCTGGAAGTGGAGACTGGAGAGGTCCTTCTTTCAATACCAGAAGCAGGGGGTCGCGCACCAGTCACTTAGCTGTGTTTGGAGATTTGCGTTTTCCCTTTGCCTCCCTTTTTCACCTTTTCCAGAAATTATTATTGTCATTGTCGGTCAGTAAAGTTCGCTTGCGCAGGCAGCCCCCGTCTTACGTGAACTTCTCAGAACTATGAGACGGTCCGCGGCCGCATTCATTCGACCGCACCTAGAGCTCGAAAGTTTGAGTACGCTGTTGAACTCTGACGACCTGATTGTGTCCAATCGTTGCTTGACGTGGCCCGCCTAAAGTTGTCCTGCTTGGTCACAAGGCGCACGACTACATTTCCTAAGGGCGTGAGAAAGGTAGGGTGTGCTTTTTCATCATCCTGTCAGTGAGGCGCGTCCTCTTCACTTTCAGGGGCTATAGGAATGACACTGCGCTATTCGATTATCTCACCACTAGTTGAAGGCCCCTAGTTTTAGTAACGGATGCTTCTTACCGCGCACGCGCACGTGGAAAGTCACTGGTCGGGCACCGCCGCGGATGCCCCGGGGCGGTGGGGGCTAGACGGTACTCTCCCTGCGGTTGGCCATGAGCGGGGTCTCGCAGGTGCTGCCACCTTCGTCCTCGAGCTCCTCCCCCGTCAAACCCAGGTTTCCGGGCACTGGCCGCAATGTGCGGTGGAAGTCGATGCGCGCGTACTCCGTGGGCGGGTCCGGCAGCTGCGGCGGGAGCACGGCGGCCGCGCTTAGCGCCGTCCTCCGCAGAGTGCCGCCGCCAGACGCCGGCAGGACTGCCACCCCCTTGGGGAAAGACAGCTCCGCGTAGGTTACTTCGCTGCAGTCCTTGGGTAGGAGAGATAGCAGATGACAAATTAAGAATACTGAAACAGAGGGAAGAGTGAATAATCTGCCTACCGGGGACGAGATTCAACCGTAGCGCCCCTAGCGGCTAAGTTGGGAACTACTTATAGGGACGAAAACAGCGCAACATATTTGTTTGTGTTTCTGACGGAGTGCTCGTGTGACGTAACCGAAGGCTACGTTAGCGTTCGGCATGCTGAACAAAGACCACTCTATAGTTCGATATTCTCACAAAAAGCGTTCCTTATTGGGAGTTTCTGACTCCCGCGACGAAAAGAGCAAAGCGGCTTGGTGATAAAACCTGACGAGAAGGATTAAGTTTGGGAACTCACGAACACACACACGCACACAGAAATAAACTCGGTAAGAAATGTGCGAAAAGCGGCCGTCCTATTCATCCATTATGTTCTCCGAGGTTTTTCGGACATTTTATACGCGGGCGTCGCGCTTTTCAACGACTTAACTTCCAGTACTCGGAAGGACGTCGTTTTGAACTCTCCACACCACTGCAACGGATTCACGATGAAACTGCAGCTGAGACTCAGTCTTGTTTCGCAACTTCTATTATTTATTTTACTTTTCGCAGATTCTAGTGGCTTTCGTTTTGCTTTTCATTCGGTATACCGGAGATGAAAACTACGTGGCTGCGGGCTGCTAAAATATTTATTAATAATGGAGAATATGATTGTTGAGAGCTTAAGAAGGGTATTGCCTAAGGCAGTCGCGAGCATCTTATGGCGAATTCCACTAGGTGTTTTGGAGCGCGCCGAGATCGACTTTTCTGGAGCGCGTCTTTTTCACGGGCGTTCGGGATCGAGACGGACCCGTTCGACTCCTCGTTTTGGATCAGCTCTCACTCCAGATCTCAATACGGATCTGAGAAAAGTCGCTCCGCCATTTCTGCGGATATGACCGGAAGCCGGCGTGGCCAGCCTTCGGCGCGCACACGTGACATCCTTTCTTGCAGGACATCTCGCCGGTACCGAGGGAAGGGTATTCTTGGGAAGGTGAATGACCGGAAGGCATCCGCAGATCCCGGATAAGTGGACATGTCCCACTGGGAATCAGGAGGCGGAGCGTCTCCGTTCCGATTGCATGTTTCATCTCGGATTTGGTCTAGTATGATCCTGGCAGGCACCAAAACAAGGAGTGGAATTCCCCATTATTCCTCCGCAAGGAACAAGATTGCGAAAGTAGGCGATTAAAACGCCGAGAAACAAATCACGAAGCCAAAAGTGGGAACAGAAAAGTCACGCCTTGCGTTTCGGAAGCTGTCAGCGACCGCACATGTATTTCTTTTTAGCTGCAAACTCCAACTTTTGTCTGAGTGTCCGAGGTTGTTTTGTGTGCTTTATCGGAAACATTTTTTATCTGTGCATTCCTGTTCAGATTCTACTACAAAGGACCCATGTGTTGGTTCTTTTTCGTGTTATGTTCATTTATATTTTAGTGTTTATTTTCATTGCACATTCGTCACACCATTTTGTCAATTTTTGTAGAGCTTCATTTAATTTATTCTGGTCAACGGATGTGTCTATTAAGGAATATCATAATAATGCACATATCAGTCATTATACTTGTGGTGCTCACTGAAATAGCTTGCAAGTTCTCTTTCACGTATCGCTTCAATAGCCAGTTCCAGAATAAAATTAGCCTGAACAAGCTCCTCTCAAAAGCCCTCATTTTTTCCTCTTTACAGGAGCGAACGCTGCAAAGCAGAAAAAAAGTAGAAAGGAGAAAACCACCACTGAAGGCGAGGATATAGCTTTTTTGGGAAGACTGCCCTGTTTTTCTAAAACTTCTACAGAATATAGTATGTTTTGTGGGACAACAATAATTTAGAATCAGTTATGTATACGGTATGTGTCAGCTTATCCTGTGTAGAGGAGGGCGAAAACATTCGCCCCAACCTTTGATGTGAAAGGACACTAGTAGGCTCACCACTGGCGTTCTCAGAAATGTTCTTTTTTTTTTTTTGGGGGGGGGGGAAGGTGGACGGGACAGAGGGGGCTGGGACGTCCATTACTTGGGGTGCGGACGAGGGAGGCGGGGTCAAAATGCACGTGTACATTATATGGTCGCCTGGGTTTCGGGGGGTGGGGGAGGGCTGAAGCGCCATGAGCCCTCTACCTGGCTACGACACTGGGGGCCACTGACGTATCTGAAGGACGCGGCACCTGCCAATTCAGCAGCATAGCGCTTAATTGTTTCCATTTACACTCCAGCCCCACGAAGGTTTGTTTTATCAGAGTTTTCCTGATATAACCGTTTATTTGCTGAAAGTCCACAGAATCGATACAACACACAAGTTTAACAGTCTGTCTTGGGTTGCTCTATATGAATGCAATGGTGAGTGTTCACAGCATTTTAGTTCGACCCTACCGACCAGTGTTCTCGCTGTGGGCACGGAAGGGCACGACTGGTCGCTTGTCATAAGACGTTTTCTACACATTCCGTTGAAGAAGGAGATCGGCAGTATAAGTTTTGAAACAAGTGCGATATTTCAATAATCGACTACACATTGGAGTCTTCTGATCACGTTCATGAAAGCACTACAGAAAGCAAGCAGCGCGTGTTGGAGGTGGACTTTCTCTTGCAGATCATATGGTGCAACAGACACTTGTCTTCTAGATGGAAAAAGACGGTTGTTTTCTGCAATACTGATAACCTTTGAATAATTTTCGACGCCGGTATTGTGACTGCAATAGACGATCGTCTTCTTCTTCAGAACAGTCTGAGCTCATACAGGGAAGCTCGTGACCTAGGTTTTTCGACGAGCTGGGAAGCTGGCAGGTGGTCACGTGTTTCCCACCTGCTGTAAGACAGCTGGCAAGCAGAAGCAAAAGGGGAAAATGATCACCAACTTTTTCGGCACTCTAGAGTCACTTGGTGAATTCGTCTCTTGCTTGATCTAAGGAACACCCGTGAGGTTCCAAGCATACACATGTTCTAAGCTGACACACCTAGACACTGACACGTGGCAGAATCTGGAAAACCCAGCCTGCAGAAATGCAACTACAACCTCTTCTGCTTCAATCGAAAGACAATCATGGTTCAAGACCAGTGCTTGTTTCAGGTCATGCTTCGAAAACGCTCCAAAGAGCGCGGCGCGTTAGTGACTAACAAGGGACACAACAACCTGTTTTGAAGGCCGTGAATCGTCATGCTGAAGATAGACCTCATCAAATTGTTTATTCGATCTGTTGAACTGGAAGCCGAAGCACCGCTTCAAACAATCTTGGCAAGGCTTTCGACTTTACTCTCCGGTGACTTAGGGTCTTGCACTAAACACGAGGTCCACCTTCAGTTCAAGCCTGAAGCGAAACCAAAGTTCTGCAAGCCTCGCCTTCTTCGCTAGGAAAGTCAAAAACACGGTTCTCACGCCCCTGGACTTCTTGCAGTGGGCCACACCGATAATTTTTATTCCAAAGTGGGATGGATAAGTTTGAATTTGTGTTGACTTCAGTGTCACCGTGAATCCTCAGCTCAACATAACCCAGTAGCGACTGCCACGTCCAGAATGACTTTCCACTGAGTTGAATAGAGCCAACACATCCAGAAAGCTGGACTTGTCAGAGGCATATCTCCAGGTAAAACTCAATGAAGAGGCAAGAACGGCTCTCCTGGTGAATACTTACAAAGGCTTATTCAAATTCAACGGGATGCCCTTTGGAGTCACTTCCGCCGCAGCAGTGTTTCAGCGCACAATAGACCAGGTAACTGGAGGGCCTGACGGTGTTGTCTGCTACCTTGATGACATCATCGTCACTGAAAGAGATACTCCTGAACACCTCCGGAATCTTCAACAAGTGGGCCAGCGGCTACAGGAATACGGCTTCATACTCAAAAGAGAAAAATTCGCCTCTCTTCAAGAAAGGGTAAAGTACCTCGGGCAAGTCGTTTCCGCAGATGGCTTCCCACTTTCCACGAAAAAAAGTCTCGGCTATTCTAAATATGCCAGGGCCCAAGAGCATCAGTTAGATGAGACCTCTTTTCGGCATTGCGCAGCACTACAGCAAGTCTCTTCCGAATACTTCTGAGAAATGTGCGCCACTGAACAAGCTACTGAGTATAAACACCGCCTGGCAATAAAGCTCCGAGTAAGTAGATGCGTTTGAAAAAATCAAGCAACAACAGACCTCTACGAAGGCCCTAGTTCACTTCAGCCCTGATGGGCCAGTTTACCTCGCTGCAGATGCATCATCTGAAGGCGTGGGCGTGGTGATGTGCCACAAGATCAAATGGCTAGGAACGTCCGATAGCACATGCTTCTAAGACACTGAATTCATCAGTGTGATTATGCACAAATAAAAAAGAAAGCACTTGCCATCGTTTTTGGAGTCCGAAGGTTTCACTAGTTCCCTTGGGGACGCAAGTCTGTGCTCTACACTGATCAGAAACCTCTTACAACCATTTTTAGCACCATGAAGGGCATCCCCATGACATCGGCGAACAGACTTCAACGTTGGACGCTCATACTCATGAACTACAACTAGACGATTGAGCACGTCCCGACGACAGGGTACGGAAATGCGAACATATTATCGCGTTTTGCAGAAGGTCCCGACGAGTATTTCAACAAAGAATTGACAAGCGAAGTTTTCACCATAACCTGTGTCCCCACAACATGAGCTTGCGCTTCACACCCAAAGTTTGTCAAAGTTACCGGTGATGGCAAAGGACGTCGCCACTGAAACTGTGCTAGACTCTGTCCTCGCTCGAGTACAGCCGGTACATGTGTTAAGGCTGGCCAGAAAAGTTGACCGACTCCAACCTCACACCATTCCATGGAGAGAACTAAATTAACCATTGTCAACGGTTGCATTCTATGGAATTCGCAAACCGTAGTTCCACGGAAGTTCCAGCACAAAGTAATCGATCTTCTTCATGAAGGGCACGTGGGACAAACAAAGATGTAGATGTTGGCAGGGTCGTACGTCTGGTGGCCACACATCGACAAAGACATTGAGCGCACGACGCAG